GCGCGCTTCAGCCCTGCCTTGCGGGCTGGCCGATGCGATCCAGCGCCCTGCCACCGCGAGCGATCGGGCGGCAGGCGCGACCGAACCCCGACCGATCGGTCGGGATCCGCTGGCCCGCGCGAGGCTAAATGGGCTTTGTGCCCCCACTCCCCCTGGCCCCCCCCCCTCCTATAATGCCCGTGGTCGCCGAAAATATAGAAACGCGCTCTTGGAACTTGGCATCGTGCCGACGTGTGCGTGTTGCCGCGGCGAGGCATCATCTTGTGAAGCAAAGTAGGGAAACGAGCCAAGACATGAGCATAATAACTCGGAGGTTCGCGCGGATTTCTCGGATCGACGCTGGGGCCCCCTGGCGGCGCCTCCGGCGCCGCCCCTGGCGCGCTCCGCGCGCCAGGGAGGGGGTCCAGCGCGGATCCAAGAAATTCGCGCGGACCTCGGAATTTTGATGTTTCTGCCATTTTCCGTTCCCCTACAAATGCACGCACGACATCCAAAGGATGCACGGGGAATGTACGTCCGAGCGATGGCGGGGGGTACGGAAAGAATAGGTACGGAGACCGCCAGCAGTTCCTGTCCATTCTGAATCGGGTTCGTTGTCGGCGTCGCCGCGGACGTTGTTCTTCGAAAACAGAAAGTCGCCTGCCCAACAGCCGTCGCGCTCTGCTGGTGACCCAGAACGGCAGGGAAGGGGGAGGACGATGAGCATGCAGAGTGATCGGGGGAGGAGCAGCAGCAGCACCGGGGTGACTCAGAGGGATCAAGCGGGAGAGGGGGAACCATGAGGACGGAGGAGGGGGAGGCGGAGGACGCCGATGGAGGGCTCCCGTCTCAGGACCTCCAGCGCCCCGATTCGGCTCGAGGCGTGGGCCCGTGCCCTCTCACACCCCCTTCCCACGGGCCTGGCGGCTCGCCTGTTCTGTCCGTGGCCCTCGCAGTACGAGGCACCCGCCTCGCGGGGCCGAACGCGGCCGCGAACGACCAGGCCTCCCGATGTTGCCGACGCGCCGGGTGTCTGGGGCTTCCGCTCCCCTCTTTGGACGCCCGACATCCAGAGCCCCGAGTCATCCGGGGTAACTCGGGGTCAGGGATAACTCGGGTTTGTTTTTCGGGAATCCAAACCCGAGTTACCCCGGACCCGAGTTACCCCGGATAACTCGACCGTCCAGAGCCCCGAATCATCAGGGGTAACTCGGGTCAGGGATAACTCGGGTTCGTTTTTCGGGAATCCAAACCTGAGTTACCCCGGACCCGAGTTACCCCGGATAATTCGGGCGCCCAAGACATGGGTACGGAAAGAATGGGTACGATGACCAACCACAAATGTTGTCCCAAAACAACAGCGGCCGCTGTGGGGCAGGCGGCCTTCTGTCTCGAATGGACACAGGCCGCGGCGGCGCGGACAGCGAGTCTAGTTCAAAATGAACAGGAACTACTGTTGGGCATCGTACCCATTCTTTCCGTACCCATTTCGGGCGTCCAATTTCCATGGACTTTTTTGATCCGGTCGATCTGGTTCGATGTGCCGTCGATCTCGTCCGGCTGGAGGAGTTGCTGCGACGTTTTCACGAGGCATGGTGTGCATCCTGGCGCGGCCGATCTGATGCGACCTCCCGATTCGATGCTGACCGATCCTGCCCTCGCCTTCGCCCCCTCCCCCCCATTCATTGACGAACGGACAACACGCACCCATACCCATAGGGGGGTCGTTGGGAGGAGGACTGGCTATGGGTATGGGTGCGGGTTGTCGGACCCTGGGGAACGCTCCCGTTCGAGCGGGGACCCCCATCCGACAACACGCACCCGTAGCCCTCTCCGATCCCCCTATGGGTATGGGTGTGTGTTGTTGGTTCGTCAATTCATCGAGAACAAAGGATCCCCTAACCCTAATCACACTGTGAAGACGTGGCCTCGCTGAGGTCCCCATCTTTGCATCAGGGACGGTAAGTCTGGGCGGCTCGGTCTGGCACATTTGCAGAACAGAAGACCCCCTTATCCGTCATGTGTCTATTGCCCTCCTGACGCAGGCCCCTCCCAAGGGGTCAGGGGTGCTTGTATTGCTCATCTATGGGAGCAAGCGGAAAAACTCGGAGGTCCGCGCGGATTTCTCGGATCGGCGCTGGACCCCCCTCCACGGCGCGCGGAGCGCGCCAGTGGCTGTGCCTGCGCCTCCCCGAGGAATCCGCGCGGACCTATGTTGATTGCATTGTTTGTTCGCCTGTTATCGCCCATGGCCCTCGTCCCTCGAGGTCCCCTGCCCCCCCCCCCTCGTTCGCGCTGGAGGGGAGGCGTGGGCAGCTGCTTCCGAGAAGCCCCGGCCATCGGGGGGGGTGGCGGCCGACCCAAGGGCGACGACGACGACGGCGACGACGACGACGACGACGGCGACGACGACGACGACGGCGACGACGACGGCGGCGGCGGCGGCGGCGACGACGACGACGACGACGACGAACCTGGACCAGCGGCACGCCGGAGCGTCGTCCGGCACGGTGGGCTGGCGCGCGAGGCTTGTCGCCGCCCGGGGCTCGCGATGGCGGTGACCTCCTCCTCCTCCTCCTCTTATTCCTCCTCCTCCTCCTCCTCCTCCTCCTTTTCCTCCTCCTCCTCTTCCTCCTCCTCCTCCTACTCCTCCTCCTCCTCCTCCTCCTTTTCCTCCTCCTCCTCCTCCTGCCCTGGGGAAGTGGTACCGAGGTGCGTTCCAGACAGGGCCGTGCCTTCGAGGGTGGAAGGAGCTGCCACCCCTCGTGGGGGGAAAACGCGACACAGGCACAAACTGTCGGAGCTCCGCGCGGAGTTTTTGACTCTGCGCTGGGCCCCGCTGGCGGCGCCTCTGGCGCCGCCCCCAGCGCGCTTCGCGTGCCTGAGAAGAGGGGGGGGCCAGCGCAGATCCAAGAAATCCGCGCGGAGCGCCAAACGTTGATGTGTATGCCAGTTTTTCTTCTTCCGATTTCCTCTGCGGCGGAAGGTCGGCGGAATGCGGCGGAAGTAAAACGGCTGCGGCTCCGCCCGCGGATGCCGGCGGAAGCTCAGCTCCAACCGGCGGAAGCGAAAAGTCGATTTCCCAAGAGATGACAACATTTTTGGGTTCAGGGTCTCCGGAATCAGGTATGTAGCCCCCTGCAGTTGCGAACAAGAGTGGGGGGGCGGCGGGGTCGTCGGCAGCCTGCGAGTCTCGGAAGAAGCCCGCCGCTGGCGCCGATTCTTTAGAGATGGTATGTAACGAGCCCGCCGCAGGCGCCGAAGTGTTCGTCCAAGCTGGGCGGGTCGCGGATGAGCCTCGGGAAAGCGTCGCAATTTTGGTCAGAGTTGGATGCGCATCTCTATCCGAGGTCCGGGCTCCCCTCCCCGGGTGTCCGATGCAGTGGATCTGGACACTCACCTGGCCCTCCGAGAGGCTAGATGTTTACCCATACTTCCACACTCGCTGCCCCTCGGCCTGCTGGCGCCCCTTTCCCAGGAAGTCCACGACGCTGCGGGGGCATGGACAGAAGTCTTGCCCGCATTGCCTCGTCGATTTGCATGTTCTCGTCCTCGGCCTCGTTCTCGTCGCCCTCGGCCTCCTCCTCCTCCTCCTCCTCCTCCTCCTCCTCCTCCTCCTCCTCCCCCTCCCCCTCCTCCTCCTCCTCCTCCTCCCCCTCCTCCTCCTCCTCCCTCCTCTCCTCCTCCTCCTCCTCCTCCTCCTCCTCCTCTCTCCTCCTCCTCCTCCTCCTCCTCCTCCTCCTCCTCCCCCTCCCTCGTCTCGTCGCCCTCGGCCTTGGCTTTCGGCCCCGGGAGGCCCCTTTCGGAAGCTTCTGCTGCACGGATCGGCGAGAGGCGCACCCATCTTCCGGGCGGCGTGCTCGCCCCCCCCTCCCCCTCACGGGAGCGGAGGAGGAGGAGAAGGGAGAGGAGGAGGAGGAGGAGGAGGAGGAGGAGGAGGAGGAGGAGGAGGAGGAGGTGGAGGAGGAGGAGGTGGAGGAGGAGGTGGAGGAGGAGAGGAAGGAAGGAGGAGGAGGAGGAGGTGAAGGAGGAGCGGAAGGAGGAGGAGGAGGAGGAGGAAGAGGAGCAGGAGCAGGAGGGGGGGGGGATGACTTGGGGTGGCGAGGGGGGGTATCATGCCAGGGGCCACGATGCCTCCCAAGATTTCTACAGCGCCTCATCTTATCTCAGTACGTCCCCCCCCTCCCATGGCCTCGCACGTGCCGCCGGCCATGATGATTCAAGGGATGAAAACATCCACCCGGACCCGATGAGTGGCGTCTACACCAAGCGGCCCCGGGCGTTTGCTGCACGGCCCCGCCCCGCTTAACGGTTCCTGCCGTGGGTGCGTCTGCGGAGCGGCTCCGCGCGTCGGGGCGATCGTTTCCGGGGGGGGATATTCTGCCCTCGCATGATTTGCGCCCCCCGCAAGACGTCCTCTTCCTCCACCTCCTCCTCCTCTTCCTCCTCTTCCTCCTCTTCCTCCTCCTTCTTCTTTTTTATTATTAGTTGTTCTTATACTTGTATTCTTCTTCTAATGATTATTAGTATTAGTAGTGTTTTTCTTTTTATTTTTATGATTATTATTCTTATTAGTATTAGTATTATTATTATTATTAGTATTCGTATTATTATTTTTATTAGTATTATCATTATTATTATTATTAGTATTATTATTATTATTACTATTATAATCATTATTATTATTAATATTATTATTATCATTAATATTATTGGTATTTTTATTATTATTATTGTTCCTCCTCCTCCTCCTCCCTTTCCTCCTCCTCCCTTTCCTCCTCCTCCCTTTCCTCCTCCTCCTCCTCCTCCTCCTCCTCCTCCTCCTCCTCCTCCCTCCTCTCCTCCTCCTCCTCCTCCTCCTCCTCCTCCTCCTCCTCCTCCTCCTCCTCCTCCTCCTCCTCCCCCTCCCCCTCCCCCTCCCCCTCCCCCTCCTCCTCCCCCTCTGCGACGCCTCCCTCGCGAGGCTCAGGGAGGCCCCGTTCCGCCCGCTCCGCCCGCTCCGCCCCCCGCTCGCCGCCCAGGGGCCCTCGCGCTCGGCGAGGGCGTCTGCGCCCTGGTGCACGGCCTGGAGCCGACGCCCCCCGCGCGCCTGGAGAGCCCCTCCTCGCGGTGGCGAGCGAGGGGGGGGGGGACCTTCGAGGTCCGAACTCCGAGCTCCGAGGCTCGAGCTTCGAGGCTCGAGCCTCTCGAGGCTCGAGCTTCTCGAGGTTCGGGGCGGTCTGTCGTAGGTTTCGGCCTCTGTGGGGGCAGTGCTTCGAGGTTCGAGGCGGTCTTTCGTAGGCTTCGGCCTCTGTGGGGGCAGTGCTTCGAGGTTCGAGCTCCGAGGCTCGAGGCGGTTCTTCATTGGTTTCGGCCTCTGTGGGGGCCGTGTTCAGGCGCTGGGAGCCCCGAACCTCGATCCTATGGTGCACGGCCGCGCCGGATAGACCCCGGGAGGGGGTCCAGGGATGTAGTTTGGCCGATAGTCGGCGGCAGGCTTAAGGAGAAGGCTTTCTCAGAAGGCGGCGGGACTTCTCCGAAGCCCTCGCGCCTTCGGAGAGTTTCTTCTACTCTGCGGGGGAGGCTCGGGACACGTCTCAGGAGGCCGAGGGACCTCCGAGCCTTCTGAGCAGGCCCGCCCCTTCGCGATCCCCCCCCGGACTCGCCGCCGAGCCTCTTCCCCCCTTCGCCGGGCAGCACGGCCCGCTGCCGGGACCAGCGCGACCGGCGCGAGCACAAATTTACGCTTGGGCTGGAGGCGGCGGCGGCGGCACGAGGGCGACCAGCGCTTCTCCAGGGCAGCGGCACGAGGGCGCGACGATGCTCGAGCGCCTCGCCTCGCGGGGCGCGATGCGCGAAGTTAGGCGACCGGGGGTCATCGAGAACACAAGAACACCTAACCCTAATACCACAGTGAATGCGTGGCCTCATTGAGGTTCCCCGTCTTCACATCAGGGAACAAATTCTCTGGGCGGTTTGCTTCGAGACACCTGCAGAACAGACCCCCTGTCCCTGATGCGGGTGGCCCTTCTAGGAGCGTGGTTCTCTATTGCTTGGGGCAACATGGGAATTGCAGCACCCAGCCCTCCCTCCCCCCCCCCTATGACGTAGCAGCGCCCCTCCCCCCCCCCCCAGCGCGCGCTCCGGGCACTGCCGCCGTGGCGGGGGGGAGGCGTTACAGTATATCCCCCCCTTGGCCCCTCCCCCTCCCGATGATGCCCAGCATCGCCGAGAACAAAGAAACGCGCTCTGGCTCGGGTCCCCTCCCAAAAGGGGCCACAGGGGGCCCTCTCCTTGGTCGATCCCGTTCCGTGACCTGCGGGGGGTGCCGCCGCTCCGGCCGCGCTGGGCGGGGAGCGGCGCGCGGGCGGGGCGTCGGCCAGGCAGGGGCCCTGCCGTCCTCGCCACGGGAGGGGCAAGTGCACACTGGCACGGCCACGGCACGGCCACGGCACGGCCACGGCCGCCACGGCCACGGCCACGGCCACGGCCACGGCCACACGGCCACGGCCACACGGCCACGGCCGCACGGCCACGCCCAGGGCCACGGCCAAGGCCAGGGCCAGGGCCAGGGCCACGACTATGACCACGGCCATGACCACGACCCACGACCACCACGGCCAACTGGCACAAGGAATCCTCGGCTCCCAGGAAAATCTTTTACAAAAATGGGGAGTGGGCTGGGCGGCAACGCCCAGACACAGACTGCAAAGTGTTGGGAATCCTGGGGTTTGTGTGCTTCCTTCTTTGCGTGCCCCTGGGCCCCGTCCTCGTCGCGGTGCTCCTGGTCGCCCTGCCTGCGCGAGGACCATGTTTTCCTTGCCCCGGATCCTCCTCTAGAGGGGGTGATGACTGCCCGCCGGTCGTTCAAGCGCCCTCCTACTTTCGGGGGAGCGTAAGACCCGGGTTTGCCAGGACTCGGGTTCGCCATCGTTTTTTGACGACCACGACTCGGATTTTGACGAGGAGGAGTTTCGTGGGATGTCTGCAGCGGGAGGCCTCGTCAAAATGCAGGCTCGGCCTCGTCATTTTTTTGACGACCTCGTCGGGGATTTCCGAGTCCCCTGTACCCGGGTCTTACGCCCCCCTGATACTTCAAGAGTCGATCTGATTCAGCTGCGTGTGGCTATGCCCTGTGCCAGGCTGCCGTCCTCGTCGCCGTGCCCCCGGTCGCCCTGCCTGCGCAGGGACCCTGCCTCTCCTTGCCCTGGATCCTCCTCCCAAGGGGGGCGATGGCTGCCCGTCGGCCGTCGGAAGTATGATTGGTTTGGGTTCTCCAAGATCCCACTCTACGCCGAGCGCCCTCCTACTTCAAGAATCGCTCTGATTCTGCCGCGTGTGGGGATTCCTCTGTGAGGGCCGGAACCCAATCCTACTTCATCCGCCGTTTTGCCTCATGTGTTTGCCTACTTCCTCCGATCGACGTGTGAGGGAGGATATCTAGGCGGGGGCCATACAGTCGGGGCGCCGAAGAAGGAACCCTCTTCGCTGGGGAAGGGCCCCGTGCTCCTTAATTGTTTCGCAGTTTGCCTCATGTGTTCCTCAGGCTTTCGATGGCAAATCGAAGTTTTGAACTTCTGGATAAAATGGGGCCTCGCTCCTCATTTTAGGGTTCCTACAGTCAGCCCCCTCCCCCCCCTTCTGGCCGCACCCCCTCTTCTTGGACGCCCCAGAGAAACTCCGCCAGTGGGAAGTCGGGCCTGTCCCACTACAGGAGGAATATTCGAGAATAGTTAAACATCATCTGGGGACTATGGTTCCACTATTTCTTGTATGGTTTAGTATTTTCTATGTTTCTTTGAACATCCGCCTGCAGGAGGACTTGCCCGACCTAAGTTTAGTGATGGCCTGCTGGCAGCTCATGACGCCTTTGTTGCTGCCGATGTTTGTTCGAGTGAGGGAGGGCTCGACGCTAACACACGTCCGAGTATAGCGGTAGCTGTCTGTTCGGCCCCCAGGAGCGCGGCAGCCGCTACAGCCTGAACGGCCAGCTGGTGACGATCTTGCGGAGGTCCTCCAGACAGGACGCCGCCCCTCCCCCCTGAGATCGGGGCGTCCTCCTCCCGCCCCATTGCTTGGCATCGCTCGGACGTGTGCATTTGTTTGGCGTCCCCCCAGCATACTTAGACTATGTGTGCGTCGCCCCCCCCCCGGGGGCGACGCGCGCACCGAGAAATCTCATAGTATGTGCGTCGTGGCGGGCGCTTGCTGGCTACAATCCAAGATTGGTGTACTATATGTTCGGGTCGGACGCACGCCTCCAAGGAGGACATATAGTAGTATGCCTCTGTGCGTCCCATTCTTTGTCGGCGAGGACCATCGGGGGAATGGACGTCCGAGCGATGGCGAGACTCGGGCGTGCTGGGATTAGCAGCAGCAGCAGTGCGACAGGTGGGCGGCAGGGGGAGGGGCAGCCTGCCCACCCCCTCTCGCCCACCCCCACCCCTCCGTGCGGCCGGGGGGGGGGATCGGTCAACCCTGCCCAAACGCGCCCCAGACGGGGCGCATGGCATGCGCGCCCTCTGTCGGCAACTGCGCTAACGCCGTTTTGGCCCACGCACTCAGCAAAACATCGCCCCGAACCGGTCGGTGTATAGGCGCACGCTTCCCAGTAGGGGATGGGCGACCTTCCCAGGTGTGCCCTTCTGCATCCTTGCCCCTTCGGCCCATCCTTATAGCGACTTTCGGGGCTAGGACGAGGATAGATCCGTTCCCGAGCGTTCAGGAACGTTCTGAGAAGGCCGCGGCGCCCGATACATCCCCCAGATCCGCCAGATCTCAGAGATTCTCGATTTCTCCGTACCCCATGTGATCCTCGTGTGCTGGCCTCGCCTTTGGGGGGGGGGTCGTCCTCCAGGCAGGAGCCGGGAGACCCCCGCGGCAGCATCAGAGGTGCACATTGAGAATGCTCGCTCGATGCATCTCTGCCGAGATCCAGGCGTCGCATTGTGTGATGAACCCGTTTTCCACCACCACCACCATAAGTTGGAAGGGGGAAAGAGGAGGAGGAGGGCGAGGAAGAGGAGGAGTAGGAGGAGGAGGAGGAGAAGGAGGACCCCCTCCCCCTCCAACTTTTGGTGGTGGTGGTGGAAAACAGGCCCATCATTGTGTTTCCGCCATGCGTTCTCGCCTGGTGACGGGCCCTGGGGGCCGTCACAGGTCGCGCCAGATCGAAAACAAGTGCAGCAGGTGGTGTTCGAGGATCTGGTCGCGACTTGCCAAGTCGAGTTTGGTCGGGAGCCTCAGGTGAGCTGAAGTCGCGCGCAAGTTGGAGCTAGATGGCCGCCCCGATCTAGGCGGACAAAGTGGTATCCCAGGCCTGGTTGTCGCAAGTTTGCTCCATAGTTGACCATTCGTTTTGACAATTCAGATTTTGACCCCGAGCATTAGATCATGAGGTGTTGTTCTGCCTCATAGCTGTAGTTGCCAGGTTTCTGTGGATTCACTCTTGGGAAACAACATAACCTTAAACGTGGCAACACACACTTCTCAACATGTTTGATCATGATCTCATGCTCTCGGTCTTTTCCCTGTGGCATCCTGAGTTGTTCTTGGTGCCGACAGCACGTCAGGAAGCTCTACTAGGCTTCCGGCGGTGGCCAGTTGGACGGCTTACCTCTGGAGACCAGATTCGCGATGGTGCAGGTTTTTTGTCGCTACGCCATATCGCGGGGCTTCCCCGCAGTTTTGGCCCTGAGATGCTCCCATGGCGGCTCCTTCTCGGGGTGCTCCACTGCTGCGCCTGCTTCACCGCGGTGATCAGGCGGCTCCTCCCAGGAGTGCCCAAAGTTTCGGTTTTTGCCAGCTGTGTGGTGACCTTTGGGGCTTTCAAAGAAACGAGGAGTCGGAGACGCCAAATGAGAGAACCTCCCGAAGCATCCTGGCACTCTGAGCGGGAACAGGTTGTGAGATATCCTTTGGCGGCTCCCATTTGGGGCGCTCAAGTGCTACGCATGCTTCGACGCAGCGATCATGGCCGAGTCTGAGAACGACAAGCAATTGTGCGTGGGTCCAGGTCTTGATGATATTTTTGTGTGGGTGAATATTGGTGCCAGTCTGAATATGCATGGCCCTGAGCGTGGCTGACCAGAGTGTGAGCGGCATGTGTGTGAGCCCGGTTATGACTAAGTTGAGTACGAGTGGATATGCGTGTGAGTGGGCGGAGTTTGATTGGGTCGAAGTATTAATGGGTCTCAGTACAAGTGGATATGATTGTTTGTGCGGTCCGAGTAGAACAATCTGAGCTGAGCATGGGTGAATTTGAGCGCGAGTGAGTCTGGGTGTGAGTGTTTCTGGGTTTCAGTGATTCTGAGTGCGACTGGTTCTGATTGTCACAAAGTCTGAGCATGGATGAGTTTGAGTTTGGAAGAGGGAACGCTGGAGGTAGGAGGTGGATGCGTCACACGAAACTACGTGGGAAGTAAGGAGGACTCTTCACATAAGGTTGTTCATTGCAGGTGTTCGCCCATCTGTGCCCTTATGGGGACATCAGACTGTCAACACAGGAGTTTGGGATGAAACACCAGTGTTGCACGATGCGAAAACTATCACGACTTCTTTCCCTTCATAGCGAGATGAACGAGATGCTTATCATAACGACTATGGTAATAGTAATGGTGACTAGGGCGAAGCTGACAGTGATGACGACGACGTCGATCTTGATGGTGATGCAGTACATCGGCGCCACTGTGTGTCGTCGTTGTGGACGTTGTGGTGTTTGGGCTTATCTGGAGAAGCTCGTCGATGCGTCCAGAACTCTCACGCAGCACGGCGTGTCGCGGAATGGGTGCAGCGCTGAGTCCGTCCATTCTTCCGTTGGTCTGGGTGCGAGCTGCAAGGAGACGGTCGTTTCAGGTCGGCGAGGGCGGTGTGGGAGATGAGCTAGGAGGACCTGGGGGTCAGCTTGCGCTGCACGGGTGCGAAGAGAGCCGTCCGGGAGACACGACGGGCGAGGGCGAGCGCCGCCGGCAGCGACCCGGGGAGGCCGGGAGCGGCACCGGGCAGGAGCAGCCAAGGCAACGCGGGAGAGGAGGCGGGGCACCACAGCGGGCGAGGAGGAGGTCGGGCGAGGAGAGACGGAGCCTTGGCATCGCTCGGGCGTGTGCATTTTTTTCTTTCGGCGAGGGCCATCGAGGAGCATCCCTGATCCTTTGGCGAAGAAGCCACGCACGACACCGACAAGAAAAACACATTGAATGGACGTCCGAGCAATGGCCAGGAGCTGGCGGGCGGCGGAGAGGGGTGGCACATCGGGACGACGAGGGCGAGAAAGGGGGGTGGAGGGCCAGGAGGAGGAGGGCTGCGACATTTTTGTTTCAGCTGCGCCAGCCAGGCCTGCCTCGCTGTTGCGGGCCTGAGTCGTCCTTCTATGTTTGTTCACACACGTGCGCGCAGGCGCTGTCCCCCAGTTCTCCAAGCGTCAAAAAAAAGGCTGCGACGACAGGGCAGAAACGGTGATGGCCAGGGGCTCGGCACGGGACGGCGGCGGAGCTTTGGGAACCAGTGTGAGGAGGACGCCTGGCTGGTGCACATGCCGAACGGCGGCAGGACGGGCGCGCGGCGTTCTTTTGTTCCTTCCCCCCTCTTTGCGCTCGCTCTACTCCCTGCCCGACCCGGCAGGGGAGGAGCGGGGGAGAGAGGAAGGAGCGGGGATGAAGGAAGAAGGTCAGATGGTTGTTTGTTGAGTTTCTCCTCCCCGTCGTCCTCCTCCTCCTCCCCCTCCTCCTCCTCCTCCTCCTCCTCCCCCTCCTCCTCCTCCTCATCCTGATCCTCATCCGCATCCCCCTTCTCTGTTTGTTTTGTCTTGCTTCCGTGGCCCACATCGCGTTTCTGTTCCGCTCCAGTTCGACTCCAGGTCGACTCTGGCTCGATTCCGGCCCGACAGATTCAAGCTCGTTTCGAGTCGACGGACGTCTGACGCAGCATTGACGCATGAGTGGAGCGAGCAGCTCCAAGAAGGTCCCCAGAACGAGCACCGAACGACGGCCAAAACCGCCAGCGGGCATGCGCAGTCGCCTCGTCGTCGTCGTCGTCGGTCTTTCTCTCGTTCTCCTCCTCCTCCTCCTTCTTGGCATCCTCCTCCTTGGCATTCTCATTCCCATCAGTTGGGAAGCAGCCGATTCCGACGCCAACGCTCAGGCCCCCCCTGACACCACCTGTGCTTCGACTCCCTGGATGCGCCCTTTGGCTCGCGATGGAAGAAGTCACAAAAGGAAGGTTTTTGAAATGTTGGGCCTCTGGTGGCCTCCCCAGCCAGGCCATGGGGTAGTTATATGTATTTATCCACTGGGAAAGAGAAGCCGGTCCCTGGGAAGGGGTCCAGGCCTCAGGGACGCCTCGATGTGAAAGAAGTTCGACGACGGATGTGCGTGTCATTTTCGATCCGTACAACTCGGTTCGATATAGATTTCGGCTGGCCGATATTCGAACGATCCGATGCGGCCCCGATTCTTGCGGTACCATCGTGCATTCTGGCGCGGCCGATTCGATTCGATTCCGATTTCGTGCCTGTGCAGCCCAATCCGGCACGCACTTCGATTCGGTCTGATTTCCCGAGTCCATGCTGACCTGTCATGCCCCCCCCCCCGTGGGGTAATGGTGTGGGTGGAGGTGGTGGGGGACCGTGGGGAGGGTGATGGAGCAGGGGAGGTGGTGACGAGGGGAGGTGCGGGGGAGGGGATGCGTGTATGTCTGGACGTGTTGATGTCTTGATGAGTTTGTGCACTGACGTGTTGATGTCTTGACATCTCGACGTATAAGTGTATTGATGCATCATGATTCGGTGCCTTGCGGTATTAAGGTGGATGTGATTGCCCAAGAACACATTGCATCGGCGTGTTTTGAGCAACCGGCGTTTTTTTTGTTTGCCTTGACTGTCGCGGGCAGGGGTTGGTTTGGCCCCGCTTGGCCCCCAATCCCCGACAGTTTGACTTCCAGACGGGACAGGACCGCCTCCTCCCCCCGCAAAGGGCGGGACGCAATGCCACATATTGCATATTGCCACTGGTGCTTCAACACTCCTCTACCCAGACTCGGATTTTGATCACCGAGGTGCATGCGCGCGTCGGTGCTTCAGGAGGGGAAGAAACACACAGACACAATGAATCGCCGATTCCCCAGAAAAATATGGGAACATATGGGAAGTTGGGGGCAAGACAGAACCCCCGAAAATATGAGAAAAGATGGGGAATATGTTTCTTCGTGTGTGTTTGTTTGTGTGCCCCAGGGCCCCTTCGGTGTTGCGCGCACCGACGGCCCTTGCCTCACCCCCACAAAGGGCAGGACCGCCTCCTCCCCCCACAGAGGGCAGGACGCAATGCAACAGATTGCATATTGCCACTGATGCTTACTCCTTAACCCAGACTCGCATTTTGATCACCGAGGTGCATGCGCGCGTCGGTGCTTCAGGAGGGGAAGAAACACACAGACACAATGAATCGCCGATTCCCCAGAAGATATGGGAAAATATATGGGAAGTTGGGGGCAGGACAGAAACCCAGAAAAATTATTAGAAACTATGGGGAATCTGTTTTTTTCGTGTGTATCTGTTTGTGTGCCCCAGGGCCCCTTCAGTGTAGAAGAAGAGGAGGGCGAGGAGGAGGAGGAGGAGGAGGAGGAGGAGGAGAGGAGACCTTAGACCTTAGCGCCATTGGGAGCGAATGATTCTTCCACCTCAAAGCTGTGTCAAATCAGACATACAAAACTTCACAAACACCACTGACTAAAAGACAGAGTTGCCTGAGACCGCTCCTGCGCAGCTACTGACTAGCTTATACGCTGCTAGAGTGGGAACTCTGGCAGCAAGGACTGCACGGGCTCTATGAGCAGCATGCCTCAGTGGAGGCACGCGGCCAGAGGCAGCCGCCCGAAAAGCACTACCTCCCTCTTCCCTTGCGACCCCGACCCTTAGTTCGAGGCTCACGACGGTGCTCTACTAATGGGCCTCCACTGGCATCTCTGGCTACTATATCTCTGGAGCCCTTCCCCCCCGATTTCGCTCCAACCGAGCCCTGAATACTAGGGGGGGTCTCCAAGAAGGCTTGAATTAGGTTGGCTAGGGCTCGAAAAAATTCTGGAAGCTAAATCCCTGCCCCGCTCACTTAGAAGGCCTCTACCATGGAGCTCCCTGAACCTCTCACTCTTCATGAACGCTGCCGCCTCAGCCGATCGAGGATGGTCTGCACCTCTCTCTCCAGGGCCCCCCTCGGCGCGCCTCCGAGCATCTTCTTCCCTCCCTTCTCCGATAGAAGACTCTCGAACTCGCTCTTGAAGGCCACCGCGACTGGAGAGTTCTCCATCATCATCTGCACTTTCACTAGCTCGGGCTTCCCCTCGATCTTTTTGGTACGCTTTACCTTGAGAACCTTGAAGTGTTCTGCTGCTTTCTGGTCTCCTCCCTCCTTCGACATGTGCTGCTCCCAGAACTCCTTTAGAAGAACTATGTTGGGGTCCCCCGCCTTCTCCGCCTCGATGTTCGAAATGATGTGATGAAGGGCCACTCCGTACAGCACGAGGTGTGGCGGGCCTTGCGGGTTGGGCGGGGGGTCCTCGGAACGGGCCACGGCCTCTTTCTTCTCCTTCGCCCACGCTTGCGACTCTGCGTTGTACTGCTGACCAGCCTCGAGCAAGTCCTGAATTACTGCGACCTCGAGCGGCACCAGGAAAGACGTGAGCATAGCGCCTAGCATCATGCGCAGGTCGGCCGAGTTCGCCAGCTCGAGCTTGGCCACGGCCTCGGTCAGACTGTCCACGTCCTGACGCCGCTGGCCTCCACGAGGGGGTTGCCGACCGCCGCCGTTGCCACCGTCTTCTCCCCCCGCCGCCGCCTGAGCACCGGTTGCCGCTCTCTTGAGTGCGGGCTCCGACGAAGCCATCGCGACCCTCTTGCCCATCCAGGCGGGCATCGCCGTCACTTCGGGCATGAGTGATGAACTTGTGAGCGCAGCAATCCCAAACACCCAGGAACTGAGGGAAATGGCTTCGGACGTGCTGGAACAAGTCGAGCTCGGACCCCCCGTCGAACTCACATATCTGGCAACTGTAGGAGGAGGCCCCACTAGCATTGAGAGCATAAGCGCGTCCCTTAAGACAATATCCACGTCCCAAAGACCCAGACAAGTGTCTAGCCGCCAGCATCTTACTCGCGAAAATCTCGAGGCAGTTGGGGCATCTATTGGAGCTCACCAAGAGGGAAGACAAGTTACGGATCCCGTGCCCGTGACGAACGTGTTCCAAGAGGCCCCGATGAGACGAGAATACTTCCCCACAAACTTGGTTCCCCCGAGACATCAAACACTTATAGGTACATTCATCAACTCGCTGAACTTCAGGACCCACTTCAGGAACCTCTGGAGCCACGAACCCAGGGGGAGCTATCTTGACTGACAGGAACTCCTTTCTGAGCACCGAGGGGTCCAGGGAGCAGAAATCGTGAGCAGCATCTCTATCATGGAAGAAAAAAGCGATAGACCCAGCAGCAGCATCGAGTAGATCATCTCTTTCATAGACTCTGCAGAGATCCACACAGTCGCTCCAGGCCTGAACAGCCCACGGATTCGCACGAGCAGTGACCCTGCCAGAGACGTGGTCGACGGTGTCGTGCAGTTCAAAAGAGAGCCGTCCAAAGACCACCGTAACTTCCTGTACATGATTGCGCGGGTTGCGGATCCAGGCCTGCAGCCACTTAGTGCGAATGACCTGACACTCCAATCGCGTGGGGACAAGCTTCCAATGCCTCAGAACGTCATCGTTAGTCATCGTCTTCATGTGCGACCCCGAGTCATCTGAAGCCCTCCCACGCATCAAAACTCTAGCGTACTTGACAAGAGCAGAATCCAGACGCCGAAAGTCCCAATCGGACACGATAAACGCCTCCAGATTCGCTCGAGCAGCATTAACACATCTAGCGAGAAACATGCACCGTCTCCAGCGCCAGGGAATACCATGCAACCTCCAAAAACGACCAGCCTGATGAAAAGCCTTCTGAATAGCCTCTAGACGCTTTGTGATCTCCGCCGTCGACGAACCTCTAAAATGTATTTGTCCCCCAAGACTTCTTTTGACCTCGTGGATGGTCCCCTCGATCGGAAGGCCAGGCTTTTTTAGCAATTTGCGACCGATCCCAGACCCCACACCCACCAGCGAAAACAGGTTGCTCTGCTTCGAGGCGTTTTGTTTATATCCACGGGCTTCAAGACAACGATCGAGTAAACTACTAGAATGCATAGCTTTATGACACAGCTCAAAAACTCCCGCTCCGAATCCCCGAACAGCTTGATAACGTCCAGTCCATGGAATACAAAGCACATCATTTCGGACCCAGGGAGTTTCGATGAAAAGCTTCTCAGTGTCGTCGGCGTACTTCGTTAAAGACAAATCAACTCGAACATCGGGAAGGAAGGGGTGTTGAGTCACCAGAGCATCCGCCACCGGGTCGAAATCTATCTGCTGCTTCTGCCAGGCATCAATTGCAGGCCGAAAAGCTCGACAGAAGCCATGCACAGCGTATGGATCCCCCATAAGAGCTCCCACCCTGGTTTTGACCGTCACATTCCCCCCCTCAATCGGTAAACGCACTGCGGCTTCTTGATACCGCTGCATCCCATAAACACGCTCACCAGGATTCAAAAGTTCACAATTAGCCTCCTCAAGAGCTGCCCAGGAAGACGAAGCAAAAGCGTTGGCCATGTCCTTGCCTTGTAAGAGACATGACAGCCCACAAGCACGAACTCTGTACATACTGCACTGCTGGACCAGCATCGCTCCCTCCTTCCTTCGTCCCTTGCAGAACCCATCTTCACAATCTCCCAATCTGGTAGAGACGCCGCGCTTGATCGCCGACGCGAAAAAACCCTTGCCAAGCACATCTAGTAAATGTACAACTCGCTTACTGGTGGCTCCTTCAACATGTTTTTTATGAAGAGCTACTCCCTGACTTCGATGCCATTCCAGAGGGACCCGACCAGAAGCAACAATCTTCCCAAAACCTCTGTTCAGGAGCACCTCGAAAGCCTGCGGGACGAAGCCAGAGTTCTCAGACTGCCAGCCCAAACCAGCGTTCCGAAACCAGGGGGTGGTGGAGTATATGAAGAGAGCTCCGAAGCGCAGGGTTTGTCCTGCAGAATCAGCTCCGCTGGAGGTGTGGCTGATGCTTTGCAGACCTCGAGGAGAGGAGGAGGAGGAGGAGGAGGAGGGGGAGGAGGAGGCAGAGGCGAACCGATGGCCATTGCCTCACCCTGCTCCCCGGGTCGGCGGTCCGCCGGCCGGCCCCCTCCGATCTCCCCTCCGGCCGGGCCGCCGGGCGCTCCGGGCGAGAGCCGCGTGGTGCGGCCGGCGGTGGCTCGCGGCGGCACGCCTTCGGCCGACGTGCCTCGCGTCGTGAAGCAGCATACCCAGAGCCCCTCGAGTCATGAAAAAATCACGACGGCAGGTTTTTCGCTATTGTCGGCCTCCGGGGGCCCTTACCGGCCCTCAGGACCGTCAAAAAACGACTCAGGATGAAAAACCGGTCCCGGGGAATCGGTCCGGACCTCTGGGGGTCGCGTCATGAAAAAATCATGACGTCGGGGGTCTGGGTACCAGGGACGCGCGTTCTTCCCCCACCATCTTGTGGTGATGGGTCCTCGTCTTGAAGAGAGGGCGCCCCGAGTCACGAGTCTCGCCTCCTCCCGTCCTCCTCCCGCCTCCACCCCCTCCTCCCCCTTCCTTCCTTCTGCTGCCCGCATCCGTCCGCCATTTTCGGCGCGCCCCTCGCGCGCTGCGTGGCCCCATTCGGAGCTCCACCGGAGACTCCAGTGGCGCAGCCCACATGCGGTCCCGCACGAATTTCGGTACACCCCTCACACGTTTTCTGGCCCCGCAGGGGGCTGAACCGGAAGGTCCCAGTGGCGCGGCCCGCATGTTGTCCCGCACCCATCTCGGCACACCTCTCGCACGTTTTCTGGCCCCACAGGGAGATTTACCGCAGGTCCCAGCCGCAGCCCGCATGCGGTCCCGCACCCATGTCAGCACACCCCTCACACGTCTCGTGGCCCCATAGGGAGCTCTACCGAAGGTCACAGCGGCGCGGATGCGGTCCCGCACCCATTTCGGCACACCCCTCACACGTTTCGTGGCACCATACGGAGTTCAACCGAAGGTCCCATTGACGAAAACCATTTCGGCACACCCCTCTCGCGCCTCGTGGCCCCATAGGGAGCTCCACCGAAGGACCCAGCGGCGTAGCCCGCACATGATCTGCCCTACCCATTTCGGCACACCTCTCACGCGCTTCGTGGCCCCATAGGGAACTCAACCGAAGGTCCCAACGGTGCGGCCGTGTGCGGTCTGCCCGCACCCATTTCTGCAAACTCCCCACGCGTTTCGCGCCCCCTAACGGAGCTCAACCGAAGGCCCCAGTGGCGCATGCGATCGCGCACCCAGTCGCTACACCCCCCACTCGTTTCGTGGCCCTGCACGGAGCTCCACCAAGGGTCCCAGCGGCGAAGAGTCTGGATTCGCCCCCCCGCCCATGTCGGCACACCCCCGACACGTGGCGCGGCCCCACCGGGATATCCACCGAAGGCCCCAGTGGCCATGTGCGCATGCGTCCGCCCACCCCTTTCGGCACGCCCCTCACGCGCACCGTGGCCCCATAGGGGGGCTCCACCGCAGAGCCCAGTAAGCATTCTGTCGCAAGCGGTAACCGCACCCATTTCGGCAAACCTCTCGTGGTTTCCGTGGCCCCATGCGGAGTTCCACCGGAGGCGATCTTCATAACGACGGCACTCGCAATTGCATATGGTCGGGTCTTTCGCCAGGCTAGTGTTGTTTTGTTTCCAGCTTGCGGGGTCCTCACTGAGCCCCCCCGCACCGTTAAGGAACGATTCAGGATGATACGCCGTCCCAAAGAATTGGGTCAAGAGTCGATTCATGGGGAGCCACGGCGGGATGTGGTGGCGAAGTGGCAAGATAGCACCATGGCCCTGCAGCGATACAAGTCCCCGCGACGTGGTCCCCCAGAGGTCTGGACTCCTTCCCTGCCTGGGGACCGGCTTTTCATCCTGCGCCGTTTCTGACGGCCCCAGGGCCCAGCAAGGCCTCCCAGAGGCCGAACATTTGATGAAAAGCGACAGCGGCGCCTCTTCATGACGCGAGGAGGTCAGGCGTCCGAGCAATTGAACAGGCGGCCACTCGGGACGACCTGTGCATCCCCGGAGCGCTCTCGGCGAGGCGCAGTTGTTGGAAGGCGTCTTGTGGCTGGAAAGCCTCCGGGGCCCCGCGGGAACGGCTGAAAGCCGCATCGTGCAACCTTGAGAGCGATTTCAGCGCTTTGGTCGCTACGCCAGGAGGTCGTGGCACCGTGCGCGACCTCGCTGCCGGTGCCGCCGTGCCGCGCGAGACCCGCACGCTGGCCCCGGCGCGCGCGCGCGCCCGCGAGGAAGCGCCTGCCAGAGGCCAACCTGAGGCCTGGCGGCCCGCGAGGGGGGTGTTCCGTAGCAAATCATGGCAGCCTTGTATCTAGGCCTCCTGGATGGGGTCGGAGTAGATTCTGCACGCCCGACATGGGCACCGAAAGAATGGGTACGATGCCCAACAGCAGTTCCTGTTCATTTTGAACAGGACTCGCTGTCCGCGCCGCCGCGGCCTGTGTCCATTCGAGACAGAAGGCCGCCTGCCCAACAGCGGCCGCTGTTGGTTCGGGACAACATTTGTTGTTGGGCATGTTGCCCATTCTTTCGGTACCCATTCCGGGTGTCCAAATAGATGGGGCTGGAGCACTGCGCCGCATCGCCGATGGATCAACGATGCGGAAGTCGACGTCGCCGATACGTCGCCGACGTCGACAGTGCGTCGCCGGTGCATCCCCGATGCATCGGCGATGCGGCGCGATGTTCTGATCCCATCTACTCCGAACCCATTTGGTAGGCCTCTATTGTATGTGTGCGCTTGCGCCTGGTAGCCGATGAGGCAGCAATGATTTTCAAGGGCAGAAAAACGCCCCTACCCTGGTTTACGAGGCGCTGTGCGCTAGAACTCCTGTGGGCTGACAGGGTAAACCCTGCGTGATGTGCCGCGTCCTGGCGGCTCTAGGCTTTGTGGGTTCCCAGGAGGTTTACAGACCGCGCACTTGTAACCCAGGGTAGGGTCGTTTTTTCATCCCTCAAGATTTGGCGCCGAGTGGCAACGATTTGGCGTTGATCATCGCCGACTCGCGAGAGATCCAGCGAGATGCCAAGGGAGAGAGGCTCCCTGGAGTTGCCACCGAAGGATGTGTGGGCAGGCAGGGCGCGCGCACGCGGGATGAAGGATGGGCGCATTGTTCAGGAACGGACCCAGGATGGATGCGGGAGGGATTCAGGAGAGGAAAAACACACAGACACAATTCATCGTCGACTCCCAGTAAAATGTGGGAAAATATGGGCAGTGGGGGGGGAAGACAAAAACTTAGAAGATATGGAAACAGATGGATGAATCCTGTCATTTGTGTGTATTTATTTGGGTGTCCCTGGGCCCCTTTAATTATCAGGAACGATCCCAGGATGGATGCGGGAGGGATGGAGGATTGGGAGACGGATGGGTTGAGAATGTTCGCATCGTGACACACTTTTTTGGTCGGCGGGTCGGGAGCGGGCCCCTTCCCGACAAGAGCTAGGCGGGGCGCGCGAAGCCCTCATTGGGGAGACAGGGCGCGGGCGGGCGGGGCCTCAGGCGGCCCGCGTCGTGACACACATGGTACGAGGATTGAGTGAGGGGGCGGACGCGGGGTGGGTCGCGAGTGTGTGTGGTCGAGAGGGGCGCGAGCGCGGGATGATTACACAGCATCTTCGGGGACCTCCTCTGTCTGTTAAATTGCGGCCGGTTTTGGAATCCTTCGCGGGTTCACCGCAGATTCGACACGACTTCAACGAGGATTTAACGCGGATCCGTCGTGAACTCGCGTTTTCGAAGTGGATTCGGGTCGAATAGCGATTCGACGGGACAGACGAGGTCTCCCGAAGATGCAACACAAGGATGGACGATGGATGGATTCAGAAACGCACCCATACCCGTTCGCGTCGTGCAGCAAACATTTGTTCTGCCTCTTGGGGCCCTCGATGGGCCCCGTGATCGTCAAACATTACACAGGATGAAGCATTGGTTTTCTTGGCAGGAGTCTGGGAATGGCGCGTCCACGTTGTGAAACAATCGTGACGTCGGGGTCTGCGAAGGGCGTGTAGTACGTTCTGACGTCTTCGTTTGTTCCCCGATGCTTTCAAGCCTCGGGATGGTTTCCAGCAGGTGCGCCTCGCCGATAAAAACGTCCCCAGGGTGCCCGAATCGTTCCGACTGCCGGCGGAGGTCCAAGTAATGAACAGAAAACCAGACAGGGTGGGTGAACCACGGATTTTGCTCAATTTTGTCAAGTTGTATTTGCGCCTCTTTTGAGTTTTGGTCAGTTGTACCTGCGTCTCGACGGAAGGGAGCCAGTGGACGTATCCTCGACAAGCAGGTGCGTACTGCTGTTTAGTCGAAATGCGATTCGCGCGTGCGTGTTCAAGTGAAGTGCGCCCCCCCAGATCGGGCCCCGGATGAATACCGGGGTCCGACGACACCCGTTCTCTTTTGTCGAACGGTGTGCCCCTGAAGGGGCAGACACCGCCGCACCACGTTTTTGGACATGTCGGGATTTTGGAAGTCGTTGGCTGAGGAAGAGGAGCGTAATTGAATTGCGCCCAGTGGCGAGAGGGTGGGTGGCATCCTCACCCAGGACACCCTCCACGGGACCCCCGCCGCCCAGGACCCCCCCCGGGGACCCCCCGGCGGAGAAGGGATCAAAGGGAAGGGGCTTCTTTTCGACTCAACTACGACGTTGCACAATTTCGCTTCGGCTGTTTCGCTTTGGCTGGCGCGCTTCAGGAGGAGAGCTCAAGGAAAAGGGGGAAGCGGCGACGGCGACGACGGCGGCGACGACAACCACAAGTCAAACGAACTTGCCTCTTGCACACGCCGACAGTGCCGGCGGAGTTCTACGTGGAATGGACCGACGAAATGCGCGAAACCGTCGCTAGCATACCGTACGCATGTGTCTAGCCATCTTCCATTTCATCATATTATCATCATCATCAGCATCATCATCATCATCATCAGCATCATCATCATCATTATCATCACCAACACCATCTCCATGATCATCATCATCATCATCAGCATCAGCATCATCATCAGCATCATCATCATCATCATCATCATCATCACCAACACCATCTCCATGATCATCATCATCATCATCAGCATCAGCATCATCATCAGCATCATCGTCATCATCACCAACACCATCTCCATGATCATCATCATCAGCATCATCATCAGCATCAGCATCATCATCATCATCACCAACACCATCTCCATGATCATCAGCATCAGCATCATCATCAGCATCATCATCATCATCACCAACACCATCTCCATGATCATCATCATCATCAGCATCAGCATCAGCATCAGCATCATCATCAGCAGCATCATCATCATCATCACCAACACCATCTCCATGATCATCATCATCAGCATCAGCATCATCATCAGCATCATCATCATCACCAACACCATCTCCATGATCATCATCATCATCAGCATCAGCATCATCATCAGCATCATCATCATCATCATCACCAACACCATCTCCATGATCATCATCATCATCATCATCAGCATCAGCATCATCATCATCATCATCATCACCAACACCATCTCCATGATCATCATCATCATCAGCATCAGCATCATCATCAGCATCATCATCATCATCATCACCACACCATCTCCATGATCATCATCATCATCATCATCAGCAGCATCAGCATCATCATCAGCATCATCATCATCATCACCAACACCATCTCCATGATCATCATCATCAGCATCAGCATCATCATCAGCATCATCATCATCAGCATCAGCATCACCAACACCATCTCCATGATCATCATCATCAGCATCATCATCATCATCACCAACACCATCTCCATGATCATCATCATCATCATCATCAGCATCAGCATCATCATCAGCATCATCATCATCATCACCAACACCATCTCCATGATCATCATCATCATCATCAGCATCATCATCAGCATCATCATCACCAACACCATCTCCATGATCATCATCAGCATCAGCATCATCATCAGCATCATCATCATCATCATCATCATCATCATCACATCAATCATCCATCTCCATGATCATCATCATCCTCATCAGCATCAGCATCATCATCAGCATCATCATCATCATCATCACCAACACCATCTCCATGATCATCATCATCAGCATCAGCATCATCATCAGCATCATCATCACCATCATCACCAACACCATCTCCATGATCATCATCATCATCAGCATCAGCATCAGCATCAGCATCATCATCAGCATCATCATCATCATCACCAACACCATCTCAATGATCATCATCATCATCAGCAGCATCAGCATCATCATCAGCATCATCATCATCATCATCATCATCATCACCAACACCATCTCCATGATCATCAGCATCAGCATCAGCATCATCATCAGCAGCATCATCATCATCATCACCAACACCATCTCCATGATCATCATCATCAGCATCATCATCAGCATCATCAGCATCATCATCAGCATCATCATCATCATCACCAACACCATCTCCATGATCATCATCATCATCATTTCATCATCTACCCTCGACGCCTAACCCGGCGAGGCCCCGAAGCGTGGCCGCGCCGAATGGAGCCCGCAGAGCGGGAGTCACCGCTGGCCCCCCAGGGGGAAGCTTGCACGCAGATTTTGCAGTCAGCGGGTGTTAGGGATAGTGCCTCGGCGCGGGTCGGTACGTACCAATCCTTGCAGTGTTGCGTTGTGCCATGTTGGCGTCTTGTGGGGAGTCGGACGGCCTCGGAGCGCAGATCACCGGTGTTTTCACGTGTCCCAGTCGAGCGTGAAGCGGGACACGCGTGAGGGTTGTGCTGACATGATGGTGTAGTATTTTTGACGTGTCCCTCGTATTTTGACGCGTACTCGTATTTTTACGCGTCCCACATCAATATCAGAGGAAATGCGTGACCGGTGTGCCGAATCGAAGCTTTCGCAGCCGTGGGGGCTCAAATCATATCACGCGTATGCTTACATGCCCCAGGAGTTGTCACGAACATCGGCCTAGCCCTGGAAGCGCACTTCACTCGTATTCGTATGCCCCCGAGAGGAATGGATAAACAGTGGCCTCTTCGAAGCATCTTTGAAACATCATCGGCCAGCGAAATGGGCGACGCCCCTGTTGTCATGCCTTGGGCACGTTTCACACTCTCCTCCATGATCCTCCACCACGTCATACACCCTCGATGCCTAAGACGGCCAGAGCCCGCAGGGGACCCGCCGAATTGTATCGCTTTGCTTATTCCGCCGGCCCATCGCTAATGGCCGAAGCAATGCAATACATACATACATACATATATGTACATGTCCCTGCTTACCCTGACTCCCTACACACCTCCGAACAGTAGGTGATTGATTAAGTTGTGGGTGCTCCGCGCGGATTTATCGAATCGATTCTGGAACCTGATGGAGGCGCCTCCGGCGCCGCCTCTAGCGCGCTCCGCGCGCTTGCGAGGGGGATCCAGCGCAGATCCAACAAAATTCGCGCGCAGCTCCGAACATGTATCTGAATGTTGTTGTGGGTTTCTCGAGAAGACCATCCAACTGCTAGTCGGAAGGTGTGGAAGGTGGAGTGTCATGTCTTGACGTGGTATCCGACGCCGAACCAAACCTCCGGGTCGGTTTTGAGGTCGCCGCGGCCATTGTGGCGGCCGCAAATCGGAGCAAAGTGTCTGTCAGGTAACGGCACGCCCCTTCTCCGCCCCGCTCTGCGACGTAGACGCGCCTCCGAGTTCACGATGCGGCGACAGAGAGTTGTCAGGGTATGTCCAGTATGGGCAGCCACTGTTTCTCTGTTTCCGGACCGCAGATCAAGGAGTGGGTTTTACCCTTTGGGACATAACGCTCGTTTTGCCCCCTACCTTCCCCCCCTCTGCGCCCGCCAGAACGTAACGCTCCCCCCCCTCCGTGCGCCCCCGGCACTGCCGCAGTGCGTCCGCAGTAGAGTTTTTGTTGGGGGAGGGGCGGGGGGGGGGGCGTTATGCTAGGGATCCGATGTCGTGATTTGTTATTCAATGCGCGGTCCCCGGAAGTCTCGACCCATCCCCCAGCACCGGTTTGTCATTTTGAGCCGTGTTTTGACGGTCCTGGGGCCCGGTGAGGGCCCCTATTGAGGCTGCACGTTGCAAAAAAAACCTCCGCTTTTGTATTTGCCATGCGTGCCATCTCTGGGCCCCCCCCCATAGCGCCCGTGACGGCCGCGAATGCAAAACAGGCGCTCAGGCAATCATCGGGGCTTTGGGGCCCGTGCAGAGTTGGGTCGGGGCCTGTCCCTCCAGAGGAGGAATATTCAACAATTGTCAAACAAATCGTCTGGAGACGATGTGGTGAGTATTTTTTATGTGTTGTTGATTTGTTGCTGACAACTTGTTTTTTCGTCCAACGCCCGAGGAGGAGGAGGACGAGGAGGAGGAGGAGTTGGAGGAGGAGGCGGAGGAGAAGGAGGAAGAGGTGGAGGAGGAGGAGGAGGAGGAGAATGAGGAGGGGGAAGGAGGCGGAGGAGGAAGCGGAGGAGGAGGCAGAGGAGGAGGAGGTGGAGGAGGAGGAGAGGAGGGAGGAGGAGGGAGGAGGAGGAGGAGGATGAGGTGGGAGGAGGAGGAGGAGAGGAGGAGGAGGAGGAGTTGGAGGAGGAGGCGGAGGAGAAGGAGGAAGAGGTGGGGAGGAGGAGGAGGAGGAGAATGAGGAGGGGGAAGGAGGCGGAGGAGGAAGCGGAGGAGGAGGCAGAGGAGGAGGAGGAGGGGGAAGGAGGCGGAGGAGGCGCAGGAGGAGGCGGAGGAGGAGGCGGAGGAGGAGGCGGAGGAGGAGGAGGAGGCGGAGGAGGAGGCGGAGGAGGCGGAAAAGGAGGAAGAGGGGGAGGCGCAGGAGGAGGAGGAGGAGGAGGCGGAGGTGGACACGCCCGACCTAAGTGCAGAGGCCTCCGCAGGGGAGGCCTCCCCCCCCCCCGGCGGCCGCCCGGCACCGCGCCCGTTCGCCGGAGGCCGTGCCCCGCCTCGGCCGGCCGCGACAAGGCGCCGCCGCCGCGGCCCCGGGGCCTTTTTCGAAGGAAGCATCCTGACCTCGGGGGCGGAAAAGAGGGGGGTGATGACTAGGGGGGGGTGGATCTCATGGCGGGGGCCATGATATTTCCCCAGATTTCATGGCGCCTCTCCTTATTTCATTGCGTCCCTGGCCCCCCCGCTGGGCCGCGCACATGCCGCCCGTCATGATTTGCACCCCCCTCTACCCAGACATGATCTCGAAGACGAGCCAAAACCGCCATAAACATAAGCTTTTGGCGCTCCGCGCGGATTTCTTGGATCCGCGCCTGGGCACCCCAGCGGCGCCTCCGGCGCCGCTTTTGGCGCGCTCCGCGCGCCAGGGAGGGGGGCACAGCGCGGATCCAGGAAATCCGCGCAGAGCGCCACAAGTTTATGTTTATGTGTTTTTGTTCCTCGAATGGGCACCCTGACCTCTACCCAGACATGGTCGCGCCGTAAAAAAAAGTAAGGACTGGAGGTTTTTTGGCCAAGAGGGGCCCTTACCGGGCCTCGGGACTATCAAGCAATTATCCAGGACGAAGAACCGGTCCCGGGGAAAGGTTCGGGACTTCCAGGGGGCCCGCTCTGAACATATCAGGACGTCGCATGTCTGGGTACCCTTCCCTCGTTTTCACAGGAAGAATGTGCACCCTGACCTCTACAGGGCTCATTTCGATTCCTCCGATTCGAGTCTACTCGACTTCGATGGATTCCGATTCCGAATCGATTCGATTTGGGATTCCGATCTGGATTTTGATTTCTCAATGGAGGCCTACTGGCCTGCCGATTTCTGCCGATTCGACTTTTGCGGACTCGGCTGCCGATTTCCGCCGACCCGATTCATTTCGATCGCCGATCCGACTTGCCGATTCGATTCTGGGCTCTCCTGCCTCTCTGCCCTTCCCTCGTTCCTCGAAGAGGGAAAGACGCCGTAAACAGAAAGACGCCATGACCTTCTCTCCCGGCGCGTGCCTCCCAGGCCGCACTTGGGGGGCGATGCGGTCGGACCGAGGCCGGTTCGTAGTTTCTTGTCGGCTTTCCGCGCTCGGAATGCGTTCCAGCGGCTGCGCCTCGCCGAGAGCGTTCGGGGGGTGCCCGGATCGTCCCGAACACCCACCGGAGAGCCGAGTCCGGACAGAGGCATAAGATCGAGGTCGGTCCGGGGAGGGTACCCCAGGCGCGTGCCTCCCAGGTCGCAGTTTCAAAGGAAGAAGGGGTACCATTACCTCTACCATTCCCTCGTTTCCCGAAGAAGAACAAAAACGCCATAAACATAAGCTTTTGGCGCTTCGCGCGGATTCTTGGATCCGCGCTGGGGCCCCCTGGCGGCGCCTCCAGCGCCGCCCCTGGCGCGTTCCGCGCGCCAGGGAGAGGGGTCCAGCGCGGATCCAAGAAATCCGCGCGGAGCGCCAACAGTTGATGTTTATGTAGTCGTTTCTTCTTCTACTTTCCCCCTTTTTGGCCTCCTGCGAGGACCTCGTCGCCACCGCTGAGTTCGCCTCGAGATCCTGGTCAGGACGCACCCCGGGAGAGGTCCTGGGAGTGGCGGTATCGGTACCTATTGGTTTTTCCAGGCCGCAGTTCAGCGACGCCAGAAAGCGGGGTCGTCTGCGTCGACATTGGCGCGGAAGCTGCCCGCGTAAGGTCGCGCGTGAGCGCCCTGGTCTCCAAAGTAGTGCGCCGCGCCGGCGGCTCGCGTAAGCTACCGCGTAAGGTCGCTGTGCCATCCCGCGCAAGACCCATTTTTTATCGTCGTTTATGTGGGAGGCGATGCAGTCGGACCCAGGCATAAGATCGGGGTCGGTTCGGGGAGGGTGCCCAAGTGTTCGTCGTGTTTGCCGGACGTCCTTGTGCATCCTGGGGGAGAGTACCCTGGGATGTTCTGTGTGCGTGTTTTTTGGAGGGCGGATGGTCTCATGTTCTGGGATGCTTTTCTGGCCTGGGTCCGACTGTTAACTGGGGTGACGGCAAATGAGGGGGCGGCGAGGGCTTCCGAAAAGGGGCCTCTTAGGTCCCCTTATGGGGCACTGCGGGGTCCAGAAGGGGGCCTCCAGGTCCCGAGAAGGGCACCCTTCTTCCCCCCCCCACCATTCGTCGCCCCCCATTTTAGAGGGCGTGCATTCGATTTGAATCAGGCAAGGTTACTTGCATGGCGTTTCGCCCCCCTTTCGTAGGTAGCAAATCATGCTCCAGGGCGTTAGCGTGCGGTCGCGTCGGCTGATTGATAAGAAAGCGCCGATATTGCGTCGATTGGCATCGATTCAGCGTCGATTAGCGCCGTCTAGCGTCGTCGGTTAGCGTTGATCCGCAGTTGCCACAGAAGTGATGCCGTTTTCCTTTGTGGCTTCCGGCGAGTTTACTTGCATGGCATTTCGCCCCCTTCCCCCGCAGATCAACAAATACCGGAGTTGTTCTATCGCGAACGGTAGCGACCGATCGGTATTCCAAAATTGTCGCGACCGATCGCACGGATTTCAAAATCGTTCGTGACCAGTGATGAAGCAATTCCGCCGACCTCGGAATTTGAAGCAAAATCGGTAGTGACGGACCTCGTCGGTCGCGGCCTAAAAACTCTGGCTTCCAATGATCAGGGCACCGCCGCCTTTTCAAGCATCTCTGGGCCAAAACGCCGCGCAAGTGAGTCTGGACTTGCGCGAAGCCCAGATTCCCGTTCGGGCCTCCTTCCCCTCCGTGCAAGTAATTAATCTTGCCAGAGTCTGAAGAAAAGCAGCTCCCACGCGAGAGGGAGGGGGCAGGATGCGAGGGACAAGAGGGGAGGGGAAGGGAAGGGAAGGACATCGAAGGACGGCCAGTCGAACCGCTGGTCTCTCAAGTTTGCCGGATCCTGGAGGCCTTCTTGCGTCACGATGCGTCCCAGCAGCTGCGCCTCGGCGAGATCGCTCCGGGGACGATCGAATCGTCTCCCGAACGGCCGCCGGAACTCGAGCCGTCAGCAGGGGAGCCAGGCATGGCCCTGTGCCTCGAACTTCGAGGAGAGGGCCAGTCGAGAACAGCTTCGCTGCCTGGCGTTCTGCCCCCCCGGGCACGCCTCCGAGGAGTGAAGAGGGGGGAGACCGGGATGTACACTCGTGTGCAGTGTGTTTCATGGCCTTTCCAGTGGAAGGTCTTTTTTCGTCGAGCTCATACTGTATACGCGTATGCAGTGTTTCTCATGGCTCCTATAGCACACTTTGCCGCGGCGCACTGGCTGGGTCGGGGATTCGAGGCCTATTGGAGGCCTCTTGGGCTCGGGGGGCCCGAGGGAGGCGCATCGTGGGCCCTTCGGGGGGCTCGCTTGGGCGGCCGTGGCGCCGTCCCGTGCCCTCTTGGGGGCCCTCTGTGTGCCACCTTGGGGGCCCTCAGTAGGCCGCCTCGGGGACCCCTCGGGGCCTTCTTGGGCCGTCGTTGCTGGTTCCTGGGGTCTCCCCCCGGGAAGTGCTGCAGCTCTGCTCCGGAGCCACCGTCAGACCATGTTGAACCGAGCAGCCGGGCGGGCGAAAGAGGTGCAACATGGAGTGTGATGAGCGCGTGTGATGAGGGCGGAAACCCATGCCAGGAAACACCCTTCTTGCCTCCAGGGTGTCCTGGGTTTCTTGGGGTTCGATGGTTTTGCCATGGACAGCGTGACGTTCCCACACCAAAAATCGATGGACGCCCGAGGCTCTCAGGATTGGGTTTCTTGTGGAAGGTTTCTTGTGGACGGGCCCCCACTGTGTATGGCAGTCCTCGTGATTTTCTTTACCTCCGCGTGCTGAAGACACGGAGGCGGGTATGAGGATGTGAGCTTCTGTTGTCTTCGCGTCTCTCCGCCCGTCTTTCTACGCCACGGCGCCCAAACAACGTGTGTTTCTGCTGACAACTCGGCGCCTCTCATGTCTCCGCGTTGAACGTCTGTCGTAAGTCTGCCTGGTTGGGGCGACAGCATGTGCAGAGCGCGGGCGCCCGGTGGTTTACATCTGAACATAAATACACGTATATGTATATATATATATATATATATAAATGTATAGTCTGTGTCTGGTCAGTTCATCCCCTCGTGCTCGCTCCCTCTGCGCTCGCGCCCCCCCCCGGCGGCGCTGCCCTGCGCGCGGCCCTTTCCAAGGGTTGCGTGCTGCGTGAGTCCTCATCGGCCCCTCGGGGCCGTCGGCGCCCTGCCGCTCCTGCGGCCGTGCCTCCGCCGCCGCCGGGCTGCGCTCTGTGGCCGGGCTGCTGCCCGCCCCGCCTGGGCGCCTGGGCGTGATGCGTGCGCTGGCCAAGCGGAGCGCTGCTCCTCTTACCAGCCTGGAACACATCCCTATCCCTATGCTGGGCATCTCCTCATCACGATGCCAATCTTAGGGATTCCCTTATTCTCTGAGGGCGGATCCCTAAGATTGTCATCGCCTTTTGGCGTGTCTATCTTAGGGATAGGGATACGTCCGAGGCTGGTAGTCCTCGCCCTTTCCCCCGCGGCCTTGCTGCTCCCCTCCCGCGCCGCCGTGGCGCCGCCTGGGCCGCTGCCGCCGCACACTGCCAGCCGGCGCTCCCAGCCTCTGCCGGCATCGCCTCGGCAGTCGTCAGCATTTTGGTGGCCTGTTGCAGGGCATCTTTTGCTGCAGCCCGCGCGCTTCGGCGCAGCCCCGAGCGGCTTTCTGTTGCGCTTTTCTTTTGCAACAAAGTGTGCTGTTTCCATCACGGCGACGGGCAACTTGATGCCCCCGCTGCAGCAGACCTTAGAGTTCACGCCTCCAGTTCGTGCAGCCCTGGCTTCGGTCCCTTGGTGTGGCCGTGATGCCGTCCCGCGTACATAAATTTATGATCAGATAGTGTGTACAGACATATAGATGCGCACGCACATACATACATGCACGTATGTGTAATTGTGTATATATATGTATATGTATATACACATACATACGTCTCTTCATTCATTCATTCATTCATTCGTTCATTTATTCATTCATTCATTCATTCATTCATTCACCGCGTACACGCATACATGCATGCATGCATGCATGCATGCATGCATACACACATACATTCATATTACATTCATACATACATGCTTACATACATACATTCACACATTAAGACATGCACGCGTCCGCATAATTAGATGTGTGTACGTCTATAAGCCAGTAAATACATTTCGTGTGCACATGACTTGCATGTTTGCTCGACTACTGTTCGTAGTGTGCACATGACTGTACACAAACATATACAAGGGGATGTGGGAATGGGGAGGGAAGGAAGGAGGGAGGGCGGGAAACGTAGGCCCATTTCCCATTCCAAAATATCATCGTCGACATCTGGTACGTTGTGCTTGTGCAGCTTTCTGCTCCTCCGCTCCCCGATCCGCCGTGCCCGCCCAGGGCAGCCCCAGTGCGTCCAGCGGCGCGCCCGCGCCGGACAGCGAGGGGCAGCCGCCAGGACAGCCCGTTTTAAACCGCGCCCCGTCGACGGCCAGGAGTCACGCAACGGGGTCAGCGCTAACGGGATCAGCCAATCCCCTTGGGCTGACCCGAGTTCGGCGGCCACGCGGGGCCGATTCTTTATCTCCGCCCCCCGCAGGGTTTGTGAGAGGTATTCAACAGCCCGCCGGGCTTCGGCACGGCAGGTCGCGGGCCGCCGCAGGGTTGTGTTGACCCGGGGCAGTGCGTTTCTGAGACGGGCATTGAGCTTCATTTCTCACCTTAGTCATTCGTCGTCTTCGCCTAGATTTGGCCCCTGGGACCATGTTTTGGCCCCTGGGACCATCACGGATCGATCGGGTTCGAGTAGTGTTGCAGGAAGGTGCGTCCCGTGGGGTCCAGTCGTGCTTGTTCGCGATATTGCGATGTTGTTCGCAATGTCGGGTCTCAGAGGAGGAGACCCCGATGTCTTTGCGCCGTGGCAAAATCATGAGGGGGGGGGGCCGTTTTCGGCCTCCGGGGAGGCCTTGCCTGGGCCTGAGCGCTGGCAAAGCACAGGTGGGGGGTGAGAAGGTTGTCTTGTGGAAATGGCCCGGTTCTCTGGTGAACCACGTTGCGAAAGAATGCGAATTCGGATCTCTGGGGATGGGGAGGTTATGTATCAAAGCATGGGAGCCTCGTATACCTTCGCAAGTCTGCAATTAGATTGCACTAGCGTCGACTAGCACCTGGTAGTCTACGAGACAGCGCGGATCTGGTGTTGATGAGCGTCGGTCAGCGTCGGTTTGGCGTCGACCAGTGTCGATTGGCGCCGATTGGCGTCGAGCAGCGTCGACTTGCAAGAGCGAAAGAGCCGACAGGATGATGTATGCGAGGCTCCGAGGAGGTGCCGCAGCGGGAGGCGAGGAGGGAGGGAGGCGGGGACCAGAGGTGGAACGCCTCGCGCCCGAGGCGTAGGCCGCGGCGCGTGCCCTGGCACGCCCCATGGCGCGTCCCCGGGCGGGAGGTGGGAGGGTAAGACGAAGCAAGGATGAGGAGAGATTCGGGGGAGGACCACTCGAGAATCCATGAGATGCGGCGGCTCGCTTTTTTTAATGTTTGTTGCCGATCAGCGCGAGATCCAAAACTCCCCCCCCGCCCCCCCATGGAGTAGATCTTGGCTGTTTTTCGGCGCCTGTTCCGAGCGGGTGGAGTTTCTCCCAGAGGCCGCACTGCTGCAAACAGTCGCACTAAGCAGAGGTCCAGGGCGACCCCCCCCATCCGCCCCCTTCGCCGAATGTTGAAACGCCAAATCAGAAAACGTTGACGAAGATGTTTCGGGCGCCTCGGCCTCCTCGGAGCCTTCTCGGGCGCTCTGAGAGTGTTCCCGAACGTCTGGCACGGCACCGTATCGGTTCTTTTAAGGAACCGATGCCGCTACTCCCTGGACCTCTCACGGGGTGCGTTCTGACCAGGATTTCGAGGCGACTCCAGCGATGGCGACGAGGGCCTCCCAGGAGGTCCCAAAAGAGGCAAACGGGCGGAGGGTAGCGGTATGGGTGCTTAGACCTCGCCGGAGTCCAAGTTTCGCCCGAGAGGGCGAACACCCAAGGCGGGTTTCCCCATTACCACCGCCTGGGGGACAGATTGTTGGAGGCCTCGGCAAGCGGCACATGTCATACATCCATATTTCTATACATGTACGGAAAGGTCCATGTATATGGATCAGTATATAAATATTCACAGATGTTTGATCTGTCTACTATACACGGGTCCCGGGAACTGCCGAGTTCGGCGTGTGACGGGACATCGCCATTGTGTGTGTTGCGCGTGCGTTTCCCAGCAGTTGTTGGCGTGGCCATTCCATGCTCCAGCACGTCTCTTGCACTCGCAGGCGATGTTTCTCCCCAAACCCCCATGACTCTTCGACGAAAAGTGAAGCTGCTCAGGAGAGGAGGGAAACCATGGGAGACACCCCAAGGTGGCTATTCGGACACCCCATGTCGAGGATGGGCGCCCCCCCCATCGTATATCCCAGTGTTGGGCCCTAATTTCTGTCCACTCGGACACCTCCCAAAGCCTGGCATGGGGGTCGACATATCCCTTGTGATAGATGGACTCATCCCCTGTCCTCCATCTCCTCCTCGTCTTTCTTCTCCTCCACCTCTTTATTCCCTTTGGAAGTTCCCCCAGCCTCAGGTGACCGTGACGCTCAGTCGTCCAGTCCGTTCTTGCGTTCTCGGGCACGCCACGTCCTCCTCTTCCTCCTCCTCTTGCCTTTCCTCCTCCTCCTCCTCCTCCTCCTCCCTCCTCCCTCCTCCCTCCTCCCTCCTCCCTCCTCCCTCCTCCTCCTCCTCCTTCTCCTCCTCCTCCTCCACGGTAAGCATTGCATAAGCGTAGCGTAACAACGATAACCGTAACACAGGAGGGGGGAGGGAGTGAGAAAGGAGACATCCTCAAGGATAACCACCTCATGATCTCATCTGGCTCCTCTTCGTGCTTTCCTCTCACCCTTGTCCTCCGCAGATCCCTCCTCTCCTCCTCATCCTGCTCATCCTTCTTGCCTTCCTCCTCGGCCTCGCCCTCGTCGACACGCTGCCACCCCTGCAGCCCCGTCACGATAGGTCCGATGCGATATCGATGCCGTCCAGATCTATGCGATCTCGATTCCCGCTCTTCCGATGCGACCCGGCGCTTGCATGCCATTGTGTGCATCATGGTGCAACCGATCCGATCCGATTTCGACTCCGTGCCGATGCCGTCCGGTTCGCCGCACGTGCCGACGCGATCCCGTTGTCCGATCCCAGGCTGACCGGTGAGCTATATAGCAGCAGGATCATGCCACTGATCCTGCCGTCTCCGGGCTCCCAGGGCGGGGCCCTGCCACGGGTCCCGGGGCCGCCGGGATACGGCGGGGGGAAGGCCTCGGGCCCCAGGGGTATAGAGCTGGTCCTGGGGGAAGGCCCTGCAGGGCCCGGGGCCCGTCACCGTGGGGGAGGAGGGGGAGGAGGAGGAGGAGGAGGAGGAGGAGGAGGAGGAGGAGGAGGAGGAGGAGGAGGAGGAGGAGAAGGAGTGCTCTACCGCATTTTCTGTCGGTGCTCCAGAACGTCCCCCCACTGGAAAGCGAGGGGTCCAATTCGGCGAGTTCGCGCTGGGGTGTGGTGGATTGGTGGGTATAGTCAGACAGGGGGCAGGGGGAGGCAGGGGGGGGCCCAGAGATCCGATGTCGTGATTTGTTCGATGCGCGGTCCCCGGAAGTCTCGACCCATTCCCCGGGCGCCCGACGGCGCCCCGGGCGCGGGGGCGCAGCGGGGCCCGGACCTGCACGCTGTCTTGCCTGGCTTCGGCGGTGCTGCGTTTTCTTTCTCTCCGGCAGGGAGGAGTGACAGGAGCACAGGCCGAGCAAAGCGGACAGCCACAGCGAAAGCTGTGCTTCGTTTTTTTTTTTTTCTGTTCGGCAGGGAGGGGTGGCAGGAGCACGGGCCGAGCAGAGCGAAACACCACAACGAAGGCTGTGCTTCGTTTCCTTGTCGGCGGGGAGGAGCGACAGGAACACACGCCGAGCAAAGCGAACCACCACAACGAAGGCAGAGCACAGAACACAAAAAGTTCAACAGGTCCAGCCCTGCGAGCGCAGCGCCGCCCCGACGCCCGCAGGAGGCGCCCCGCGCGGCGCCGGCTCGCCCACGGCGGGCGCGCCTCCGGCGCCCAGGGCTGCCAGGCGCCGGCGGGGCGACGACCCCCACGACGCGCTGCGGAGCGCCGAGGCGCGGCGCCGCCGCGGCCGTGGCGTGGCCGCCCGCGCTCCGACCTCGATGCGGTTCGATTCAGAGGGGGGGCAAGCATGCTCCTCCTCCTCCTCCTCCTCCTCCTCCTCCTCCTCCTCCTCCTCCTCTCCTCCTCCTCTTCCTCCTCCTCCTCCTCCTCCGCTCCTCCTCCCTCCTCCCTTTCCTCCTCCAACCTCCCTCCTCCTCCTCTCCTCCTCCTCCTCCTCCTCCTCCTCCTCCTCCTCCTCCTCCGCCTCCTCCTCCTCCTCCGCCCTGCCTGTTCCCCCCCCCCACAGACCGGGCGGCTTTCTGCCCCGAAGTCCCAGAATGGGGCGACGACGTCCGGGTCGGGCTAGGGAGGGGGTATAGCTCAGGAGGAAGCAGTGCCCGTACCACTACCCTTCCCTTGTTTTCCTTTTGTCGGCCTCTTGGCAGGCCCTCGTCGCCACCGCTGGATTCGCCTCGAAATCCTGGTCAGAACGCACCCCGGGAGAGGCCCGGGGAGTAGCGGTATCGGTTCCTTTTGTTTTCCCCAGGGTTGGGCCCGCGATGCCGATTTAATGCTTTCGGTGGCAAGGCATGAGAGCTCTGCGTGTCATCGCAGTGCGGACTCTACAGGCGGAATTGTGAGGACATCAGCGTACGTTGGCGCACGCTAGTGCACTCTGAGTGCATTAGCGTGCGCTGGCGCTTGGTCATCGATGAGAAATGTAGCATCGACTTAGTGTTAGCTGGCGTCGGCTAGCGCCGGTCAGAGCGTCTGTCAGCGTCGACTCGCAAGAGCCAGCAAGATTGCGTGGGAGGACCCCATGAGTGGCCACAAAAGATCCGACTAGCCTGGATTTACCGGCATCGGCCAGGGCCAGCCAGCGCTGGGCGCGGCGATCCGAGTTCGATTGGATTCGATTTGGGACGATTCGCTTATGATATGATCCTTCTCCGATGCGGTCCGACTTCGCGGTTCGATCCAGCTCAGCTCTGCTGCGGCCGCCGGGGTCCCCGCGCTCGGCGTCGTCCAGGCCCCCGTCGCATCGTGAAGGGACCACGGCGGGGGGTTTTCGGCTGTCTTCGGCCTCGTGGGGGCCCTCGCTGGGCCTCCGGAACCTTGAAGCAACGACGCAGGCTGAGAGACCAGTCCCGCGGGGGAACGGGTCGAGGCTTCGGGGTGTCCTCGCTGCGAGAGAAGAGATGGACCTTCGTCGGTGGCTTTATGAGACGGGGTCCTGTGAGGGATGGGGTCCTGAGGCCGAGGTGCCGCCAACAATGCAAATTCACCCTTGGATCCCTTCCCATCTTTAGGACCCCATTCCTCAGGACTCAAGCAGTGGCGAGGCGTCCAGGCGTGCCTAAAGGCCGACCAAACAATGTTCTACGAACCTTTTGTGGTTTCCACGAAATGGTCTTAGACCATTTCTGGCTGGGACTGTCTTGTTTCAACACACCGGGCTTATGTTCTAAGAACACTGCTTTGTTATGACAGCATTGTTGGGTTCTAAGAACGTCTCGTGGTAGGCTTATAGGGGCTGCCAGGACGGTCGGTCCCTATTCAAAAGACCCCATCCTTTGAAACCCCTCGAGTTTGGGGGCCTGTGTCGCCATATGGGGGTGCCAGCGCGCTCGGCGCGCCGCCTCCGCCGCGATCCGGCCGCGGGTCGCCGGGCCGCCGCCGCCGCCGCCGCCGCCGCTGGCCTGCCCGTGGAGCTCTTTTGGTTGCGAGGTGCGCCGGAGCTCCGCGGCGTTGGGTTCGGGCGCCGTGGTGTTTGTTCGAAGGATTGCAAAGGATTGCAAAACAACGAAGGATTGCAAAAAAACCTAGGGTTGCAAAACGAAGGATTGCAAAACGAAGGTTCGAAGGATTGCAAAACGAAGGATTGCAAAGGATTGCAAAAACAGGGTTTCTTTTTGCAATCCTAGGGTTTTTTTGCAGCCCCTCTGTGCTCCCCGATCTTTTTGTCGGGCCATGAAGAAAGAGCAGCTCGGCGGGGTGGTGTCCATGCTCTGGGGGGCCCCTCGCCGGGCCCGGGGGCCGTCGAGGAACGACGCGGGATGAAGAGCTGGTCCCGGGGAGTGGGCCGGGGCCTCGGGGGGGTCCGCGTCACGGAGAGCTAACGACGTCGGGGATTTGGGTTGTTGGGACTTCGCTCTGGATCCCCAGACCTCCTCGAGTCATGAAACAATCACGACGGTAGGTTTTTCGCTATTTTCGGCCTCCGGGGGCCCTCACCGGGCCTCGGGAGCGTCAAAAAACGACTCAGGATGAAAAACCGGTCCCGGGGAATCGGTCCGGACCTCTGGGGGTCGCGTCATGAAAAAATCATGACGTCGGGGGTCTGGGTCCGCAGCGCCCCGCGTCACTGCCTCGTTCCTCGTCCTCCTCCCTTTCTTCCTCGTGCCTCTGCCTTCCGGTGGGCCCAACCCGCACACCCCTCAGGCGTTTCGTGGCGACGGTGCGCCTTGCTTCCCGCCCGTCACGGGGCGAATTTGGCCTCGCAATTAGCTGTGGCACCGCACCTTCTGTTGTACAAGACGCGCGTGTCCACATGGCGGTGCCTCCCGTGCCACCCGACGGGCCCCCCGCCTCACAGGTCACTGGGGGTCAGTCTGGACCAGGGCCAGCAGGTCCTTTTCGGATCCCCTTTCTGGCTGACGCGCCGTGTGGCGCGGAGCTCACCTCCCCTCCTTCCGCGGACCAGGGCTTGGGCACCAGCTCGTGGCTGGGCCCAGTCCGCGACCCTGCGGGGCGCGTCCGCCAGACACCGGCACCGCACCCGACGGGGCCGATCCCGGACGGGGCCCGGCCGAGGCGGGAGGGCGCCCTGACAGCCCCAGGGATCCGCTGCCGTGACTCTTTTGTGCCAGGCGCGGTCCCCGGAAGCCTCGACCCGGTCCCCGGGGCGGGCTTCTCCTCCTGTGGGCCGTCTTTCCTTGGACGGCCCCGGGGGCCCTCGCCGACCCCCGTGGAGGCCGGAGCCCGCGAAAGACCTCCGCCTTGATGTGTGCCGATGCGTTGGGTCTCTGGGGTTAAGTCGGGCGTGTCCCCCTACAGGGGGATTTTCGACGAAAAATGAAGAACATCCAGGAACTATCCCAAAATGGCCCAAGCATGCTCAAAAAATAGTCCCCAGGCTGTTTTCCCTGACGAGGTTGGAATCTTCCCCCTGTGGAGGGGCAGGCACGACTTACCTCTGGGGCCCACCCGGGGCTCGGGATGGGCCTGGCCGCGGCGGGAGGGCGTCTACGACCGATCTTGGGCCAGGCCCCGGCTCTGGCGTGGGCGTGCCCCGTGGGCGCCCGCTCTTCGCGGAGGAGGAGGAGGAGGAGGAGGAGGGAGGGAGGGAGGGAGGGAGGGAGGGAGGGAGGGAGGGAGGGAGGGAGGGAGGGAGGGAGGGAGGGAGGGAGGGAGGAGGAGGAGGAGGAGGGAGGAGGAGGAGGAGGTAGGAGGAGGAAGGGAGGAGGAGGAGGAGCAGGAGGAGGAGGAGAGCAGGAGGAGGAGGAGGAGGAGGGGGTAGACGCGAGAGGAGGAGGAGGAGTAGGCGAGAGGAGGAGAAGGAGGAGGAGGAGGAGGACCAGCGTAAACCCAAGAGTCATCAACGATGTTGGGATAAACGCTCTCTCCGAGCTCCATCTTCACAGGCCCCTACAGTGGTTCATTTCTTTTGAGGGAACTGCCTCTTTGGAAGACAACCGTTCGAAGACCCTGAGGCATGCCAAAACATTGTTCTTGGGATGTCCAACGCCGCGGATCAAGCTGACTGTTGCGTCTTGACAATCCTGAATCGTGCCAGAACGCCATTCCTGGAATTTCAACACAGCGAATCAACAGAACTGTTGCACCCGCATAATCCAGAACCCTTTTCATAATACCGTTCCTGGCACGTTGATGATAAGAATGTTTGGAACTCTTGTACATGCTATAAACGAATGCGCGCGGCGCTAAGCTGAGAGCCACATGTTGAAAAGGAGCCGCCCTCAAACCGTAAAACTCTTGTACATTTCAAAATGAATGTGCGCCGCGCTAGGGCGAGAGCCACATTTCGAAAACGGCACGCCCTCAATCCGTGAAGCCATTGCAAATGTTTGAAACGAATGTGCGACGCGCTAAGGCGTGAGCCACATTTTGAAATTGACCCGCCCTCAATCCGTGAAGCTTTCGCAGATGTTTAAAACGAATGTGCGCCGCGCTCAGGCGTGAGCCACATTTAGAAAACGATCCGCCCTCAATCCGTGAAGTTTTTGCAGATGCTTATAACGAATGGGCGCCGCGCTCAGGCGAGAGCCACATTTTGAAAACGACCCGCCCCCAATACGTGAAACTCTTGCAAACGTTTGAAGCGAATGTGCGCCGCGCATAGGCGAGAGGCACATTTTGAAAACGACCCGCTCCCAATCCGCGAAACTCTTGCCAATGCCAAAGCTTCACAGTCATAAGCTGTGAGGACGTCTGCCGCGAAACGCCCGGCCCGCCCTAAAGATTAGCCTCGGGGTGCGACAGGGAAAAGTTATTTATATGGAAAAGGGATAGATGAGGAGGCGGAGGAGGAGGAGGAGGAGGAGGAGGCGGAGGAGGCGGAGGAGGCGGAGGCGGAGGAGCGCCCTGCGCCCTTCTCCGCGCCGGGCCGGGCGGGGCGCGCTCCGCCGGCCACTCGCGGCCGCCCTTTCGAGGCGATGCCCCCGCGCTTGCGTGCGGCAGTGGTGCTGGGGGCGTTTTTGTTTTGTCTTCAAAAACAATTGTTTTGTAAAAGGAACGTATATATATACATGTATATACATCTATACATATATCTATATACACATACATATGTATACACACATGTATATATATATATATATATGTATACACATATACAAACAACGTGTAGATCGGCGTATTTATTTTGTTCGGTCTTCGGGGCCGTTGTTTCTCCGTTTTGGGATTGCAGCCGCGCCGTGACCGGTTCGATTGTGCGATCCGTGTTACGACTGTTTGCTTATCAGCCGCGTTTTCCTGTTTCGCGTTTCTGCCAATTGTTTTCAGTCTCGGGTTGCCGTTTTTTCTGCTGTCTTTGGCTTGCCGTGTTTCGCTCGTCTTCGGCCCGGCCAGTGTCGGTTCTGTTTTGGTGCAGGTTGCCGTTGTTGTTTTTATGTTGGCCAGTCGCAGCACAAACAAATGAAATCGCAACAGAAAAAGGGAGTAGTTGTTACTTTGGGTCTCGGGGGATCGCGCCGCATCGCCATCGATGCATCGGTGATGCGGCTCGATGTTCAGAGGAGGAAAAGTGCCCATACCTCTACCTCCTTGTTTTCCCCTCTTTGGGCCTCCTCGGAGGCCCTCGTCGCCACCGCTGGATTCGCCTCGAAATTCTGGTCAGAAGCACCCCAGGAGAGGTCTGGGGAGTAGCTGTATTGGTACCTTTTGGTTTTCCAGATGTGGAGCACGCCGACGGCGCCGATTCGTCGGCGGTGCGTCGCCAATTCGGCGCGATTTTCCGACATGGCTAAGCACGCTGACCCATGTGGGAGTTCTACTACGAATGCAGGACAAGGAGAATTGCGAGGCGCAGTTACATTGCATCTCCGAAGGCCGTGTCTGTCCCATCGCGTCGTTATTGGCGTCGAATCCTCGTCGGACAGAGAAAGCGAGAGAGAGAGAGGGAGAGAGGACCACCGTTTACGGTATAAACAAGGTCCTCAAAGTTGGATCGCTGATTTAGGCCATGTGCAAACCGTGGTTAGTCGGTACGTATGCCGCGCGATTGTTTTGCAAGGATGTTTCGGGATGCGAGGCGCGACGCAAGAGGGGAGCCGACGTGTTCGGGGCATTCTGGTCGGAGGTTGACATGTGTTAAGATCTGGCCTGTCCGAAGGATCCATGCGAGAGCGAGCGTGGTTGTGTCGGGTCGTTGTGTGCATCATTTGGGTTGTCTTGCTCGGGAACACGGGGCTGGAAGTGCCAATTTGGCATTCCACTTCCTGTTCCTGGTAAAGTTGAAGGAGAATGAGGCAAAGTTTCAGCGGACCTGTCTTACACATCCATAAGAACCTGCTTTTTGTCGTGAATGTGAGTGTGTGTGTGTGTGTATGTGTGTGCTGCGCGCGCTGAGCGGCGGGACCGGCCACGCCACACGCTCGCGGAGCGTTCTGACTCCTGAGCCGCCAGCCCCATCCTCATTTTCCTTCGGCCGCGTCCTTCCTCCCTCCTCCTGCATGGTGGCACACGTCGGTCCAACGGTACCCCCGTTCATGCCAGTCATCGCCAGCGCAGTCACCTTCTGCCTAGCCGCCGCCGCAAAAAGTGTGTTTGTGTGTTCGTGTTTGTTTGTGTGTGTGTGTCTGTATTTTCTCTTTTATTTGGGGGTGAGCTGTTTTTTTAGATGGCGCTTGTCTTTTTGTCTTTTGCACTCGCACAGGGCAGTGTCATTTCGAGCCTGGCCTCCTTCCCAGTGCTCAACGGCCTCACCGGTTCATCGAGCACAAAGAACCCCTAACCCGAATACCACGGTGAAGACGTGGCCTCTGTTAGGTCCCCGTCTTCGCACTGGGGAGAATAATTCTGGGCCGTCTGATTTGGTACATGTGCAAACAAGACACCATAGCCCTACTAGTCTTGACCCTCCTACGTCAGGTTCCTGCCCAAAGGGTTAGGGGTATTTGTTCCCAACCATCCTGATCATCATCATCATCATCATCATCATCATCATCATCATCATCACCACCATCATCATCATCATCATCATCATCATCATCATCATCATCATCATCATCATCACCACCGATTTCGGCACACCCCTCACACGTTTCGTGGCCCCATAGGGAGCTCCACCGAAGGCCCCAGTGGCAGGGTCCGCATGCCTCCCCACCACCCATTTCGGCACACCCCTCACACGTTTCGTGGCCCCATAGGGAGCTCCACCGAAGGCCCCAGTGGCAGGGTCCGCATGCCTCCCCACCACCCATTTCGGCACACCCCTCACACGTTTCGTTGCGTGGCCCCACAGGGAGCTCCACCGAAGGCCCCAGTGCTGCCGTCCGCATGCGTCCCGCACACCCATTTCGGCACACCCCTCACACGTTTCGTGGCCCCATAGGGAGCTCCACCGAAGGCCCCATGGCAGCCGTCCGCATGCGTCCCGCACACCCATTTCGGCACACCCCTCACACGTTTCGTGGCCCCATAGGGAGCTCCACCGAAGGCCCCAGTGGCTGCGTCCGCATGCTCCCCACCACCCATTTCGGCACACCCCTCACACGTTTCGTGGCCCCATAGGGAGCTCCACCGAAGGCCCCAGTGGCAGGGTCCGCATGCCTCCCCACCACCCATTTCGGCACACCCCACAACACGTTTCGTGGCCCCACAGGGAGCTCCACCGAAGGCCCCATGGCAGGGTTCGCAATGCCCTCCCCACCACCCATTTCGGCACAACCCCTCACACGTTTCGTGGCCCCATAGGGAGCTCCACCGAAGGCCCCAGTGGCAGGGTCCGCATGCCTCCCCACCACCATGTCGGCACACCCCTCACACGTTTCGTGGCCCCATAGGGAGCTCCACCGAAGGCCCCAGTGGCCTGGTTCGTATGCCTCCCCAACACCCATTTCGGCACATCCCTCACACGCTTCGTGGCCCCATGGGGATTTCCACTGAAGGCCCCAGTGACTGGGTTCGCATGCGCCCCCACACCCATTTCGGCACACCCCTCACACGTTTCGTGGCACCATAGGGAGCTCCACCGAAGGCCCCAGTGGCTGCGTTCGCATGCCGCCCCCACACCAATTTCGGCACACCCCTCACACGTTTCGTGGCCCCACAGGGAGCTCCACCGAAGGCCCCAGTGGCTGCGTTCGCATGCCGCCCCCACACCAACTTCGGTGCACCCCTCACACGTTTCGTGGCCCCATAAGGAGCTCCACCGAAGGCCCCAGTGGCAACGTTCGCATGCCGCCCCCACACCCATTTCGGCACACCCCTCAAACGGTTCGTGGCCCCATAGGGAGATCCACCGAAGACGGTACTCACACCAGCATTACTCACAACTGCATATGGTTGGGTCTTTCGCCAGGTGAATTTTGCTTAACGTCGGTTCCCCCGCAGAGCGCGCACAGTGCAGCCCCCAGAACGGGGGAGGAGAGGACGGATAGGAGGGCGAGGCCGAAGGATGGAACACAGGCCGGCGGGTCGGGAAGGCAGGCGCCTGCGGCCAGGTCAGGCAGGCGAGGCGGGTTGCCGAAGCGTGGGCCTTGCATGGAACGCGAGGAAGCCTCGAGCGCGAAGGCGGTTGCCAGACGAATCGTGGGAGAAGCCACAGCGAGAGCGCGATTCCTGAGTGTCGAGGGCGCGGCGTCTGAACACACTGCCAGGAAGTCCCACGCGAGTGCGCGATGCCTGCCTACATTTTGAGGACGTTCCGCGCGAGAGTGCGATATAGGACAACACAGTGAGGAGGTTTCAGGCGGGAGCCGTTGTTGGGGTAGCTGGGGGGCCAAAGGCGCAGTTTTGGTGACAGGGTGCGGGGTCCCCGGAGGGGGCATTGCAATGAAAACATACATTGGTAGCCGCAGGGGGGACGAACAACATTTAGTCTTCAGAAGTGAGAGTTCAACAGCAGCAACATCAGGCGATCGCAAACATGGATTAAGGGGGCGTAGATAAGCGAGGGGTCCCGTTTCCACAGGACATCGCTGATTGCCGCCGTCGAGCGGGGCGCCACCAGTCGCATTCCCGATCCGTGGATTTGGCGACCGCGCGCCGAATCCACGGATCGCTACTCCCCATGTCTGCGCGCCCCCGACAACAGCAACAGCGACGACGACGACGGCGACAGCAGGAGCACCAGCCACGGCAGCAGCCGCAACAGCAGCAACACAACAGCACCACAGGTTCCTCCTCGTCGCGCATCGGACCACAGGGCCTCGCATCGCTGAGAAGCTGGAGGGCGTCATGGGGCACCGCGCTGGGTTTAAGTCGGGCCTGTCCCTCTACAGGAGGCATATCCGAACATTCCCCACACATCGTCTGGGGACTACTCCTTGACTATTTCTCCGCATGTTTCGGGCATTCTCTGCATAGTTTGATTTCTCGCTCAAGAAAATCCCCCGGACGAGGCCGGACGAGGCCGGACCTACCGCTGGGTGAGATCTGGACGTGTCGTGGGTCAGGGGAGGATCCACCCTGGCCGCGCGGTCACGAGACCCCCCGGCACCGCCCGCGCTCATGGGCAGGCACGCCGGCCCCCCCATTCCCCTGGTGCGCTCCCTCGCGCCACGCGCGCACCATTCTCTTCGGCGCGCCCGCCCCCTTTGCCCCCCCCTGTGGCGAGTCGGGGGTGGACGGACCTCCTACCCTGAAACGTCGACTGAGGAATTGTCCGTTCTCGGTTCGCGAGAGGGCGTCGCGGCCGTAGTTTTTGCGGGTCCGGGCCCGTCGGTTTCGGTCCCCCAGGCCGTTTTCACGAAGGGGAGGTTTACGAAAGGGGTGCTTTGTCCACCGCTGTGGCGAGGACATCCTCGTGCGCCTGGAGTGGCGCATGAATCGCAGGCTGAACGGCCTGGCAGGCCGCCCGCGTTCTCTCTTAGCAGCTCCGCCGCCTCCCCCTCCGTCCCGGGCCCTCCCGCCGCCCTCCTTCCTCCCCCCCTTGCCGTCCCGTGCCCGCCCACTCTCTTCTCCTTTTTCCGTCGGCCTCCCACTCCCCCGTGCGTCTGTCTCTTTCCTTCTGCTACCCCTGCTGTTGCTGCTTCTTCTGTTCCTTCTCTGGCTCCTGCCTGTCCTCCTCCATCTCCCCCCCTCTTCGGTGTTCAATTCAGCATCGACGCTGGTATATCCGTTGTCGCAAACTGGCCAATTCCGGCATAATCCTGTTTACTTCGACTCAATCACGTTTCTTGCGATTTAATCCAAGGTGATATTGGGCTATCGTGGCTCCACTGCGCCTTAATCGGAATATCCCTTCCTCCCAGGAGTTGCCTCCAAACCCTGTCAGTGTTGTTTCTGCTTGTGCTTCTCCTGCTCATCCTCCTCCATCCCATCCCCCTCATCCCTCTCTTCTTCGTCGTCGTTCGCTTCCCTGGCAGGGGACGTAGGCGGAAGGACGCAAATATGAAGGGGCAGTGGGAAGATGTGGGGAGAGGAAGGGGCCCCGTGTGCACAAGTAGTTCTTCCGTTCCCTGCGCCAGCATCTGCGCGAGAAGGTGACAGCGGCCGCGGCAGCAGCGGAGTCGAGGATGTCGGCCAGACCGAGTTGGCTCCTACAAGGCTCCTCCCCTGCCTCCGTGGTTTCTGGGCGCGCAGGATCAGCGCCACGGGAGAAGCCGCCCAGGCAGGCCAGGAAAGGAGACCGCGACCGGCTCCAGAACTTGTCTCTTGCTAAAACAGGGCTAGGATCGGGATAAATCGCTCCAGAGCGTTCCGGAGCGCTCTCAGAGCGTTCCGGAACGCTCTGGAGCGGCCGCGGCGCCCAATACATCCTCCAAACCCGCCGATTCTCAGATATTTCGAGTTATCCCGATCCGATTTTGTCCCGATCTTCGTGTCGTTTTACTTGCAGGGGACGACGACGACGACAAGGGCAAGGGCAAGGGCTGCGGAGGCCGTCGAAGGCCATCGTAGGGGGATGCCGAGGCCGACGCAGGAGCCCCTCGGACAAGAACGGGGCATCGAAAGACAAGGGCATCCAGCAGTGCCCCGTTTGACCCTGTTCGAGCTGAGCTTGCAGACAGCGCACAGGGCGCTTCACATCGGCCACCGCCATGGACACGTTGACCATGGTCAATCAGGAGGGGAAGAAACATACGGACACAGTTAATCGTCGACTCCCCAGAAAATATGGGAAAATATGGGAAGTGGCGGGGAAGACAGAAACCCAGAACATATGGGGAAAATATGGGGAATCTTTTTATTTGTGTGTGTTTATTTGTGTGTCCCAGGGCCCCTTCAGTCAAGGGCCACGCGGCCGTCGAGAACCTCGGGGGGGCGCTGGGTCGGGGAGCGAGGAGGGCCCGAGAGAGGTGGGCAGCCCCGTGGCGGTCCTCGCTGTCGCTTCGTCCCACGAGGGCGTGGTCGGCTGCGACCTGGGCGGCGCGGCTCGCGCCGGCAGCCGGGAGGGCATCCGCCGGGCCACGCCCCAGCCAGGGGGCCGAGCCGAAGATCACCAGTCAGGAGGGGAAAAAGACACACAGACACAATGAATCGTCGATGTTCGAGAAAATATGGGAAAAGATGGGTAGTGGGGGGGAAGACAAAAACCCCGAACATATGGGAAAATATGGGAAATCATTTTATTTGTGTGTATTTATTCGTGTGTCCCGGGGCCCCTTCAAGTGCATCCGCCAGGCCACGCCCCCGCTGGGGGTCGAGCCGAAAATCACCAGGCAGCGCTGTCGCAGTCGAAGGGGTCCCCAGCTCAGCACCTCGAGGCTCGGCTGCGCACTGCGGCGAGAAGGCACCAGCCACTTTCTGAGGCGTGGTCCACGAGCCCTGCTTCCGTGGCGCGCCGTCTCACGATGCGCCCGCCGACTGTGGAGCGCTTCACCGTGGAGCCGCCGCCCGACCAGGCCCCCAGGTCCCCAAGGACGCCTAGAGGGCGCTGGGCTCCCAACGAGTGCCCCACTCAAGTCGTAAACGGCCCCCCCCAAAAAAAACAGGAGCACGGCGCGTCGAGGAGCAGGGCGTGCTCGTGGCGGCCCTGCTGTGGCCCGCGCGGGCACGGTGGCGAAGGCCTTGTCTCGGAGGTCAGGGCGGCGCGCCGCACGGGAGTCGCCCCGCCGGGCCGGCTGGAAGGCGAGGCGAGCTCGCGGCTCACGAGGCGCTGCTGAAGTAAAGAGCGGCGCCGATCAAGCTCGCGAGAGAGGGGGAGCGCTCGCGGCACTGGGGCCTCCAGCATCATTCTGTCCTGGGGGCACGGTGCCTCCAACTCGTCCTCCCTCGAACAGTCTCACCCTGCCCTTTTTTTCCACACGCACGAGGCGCCGTGCACAGCGCAGCTCGCCGAGCGTAGCAGGCAGCATCTGCTACAGGCGGAGCTCGCCGAGCGTAGCAGGCGGCATCTGCTACAAGCGTAGCGGCAGACCTTTCTGCAGACAGCCCCCGCGCCTCGCGCCAGCGCAGCAGCTTCACTCGGGCGCACCTGCCAGCAGCGCCGTTGAGCGAAGAGGACTTACGAGCCCGCCAAAGCTGCAACGGGCTCCCAGACACTATGCTCACTCTTTGCCTGTCTGATTGACTTGGCATGTAGCCTCACCCGTCTAGCAGGAAACTTGTCATCCGCTTCCAGATCCGAGTTGAATTATGCTTGTTCCTCCTCCTCCGCCTCCTCCTCCTCCCTCCTCCTCCGCCTCCGCCTCCTCCTCATCCTCCTTCTCCTCCTCCCTCCTCTCCTCCTCCCCTCCCCCTCCTCCTCCTCCTCCTCCTCCTCCTCCTCCTCCTCCTCCTCCTCCCTCCCCCTCCTCCACCCTCCTTCCCTCCTCCCCCTCGGACCCGCCCCCGCTCCGAGACGAGGCCTGGCGTCGTGAGGCCCGTCGGAGACGCGCCGCGCGGCCCGCGGGCGGGCGCCCTCTCTTCCGCTCCTCGGCGGGCGGCCCGAGGCCACACCCCGAGGACGGGCACGGGGCCGTTCGGGCGGGCGCTGACAGGGCGGGGCGGGCTCCTCCCCCTCCCCCCTCTCCCTCCTCCTCCCTACCTCCTCCTCCCCCTCTCCTCCTCCTCCTCTCCTCCTCTCCTCCCTCTCCTCCTCCTCCCTCCCCGCTCCTCCTCCCTCCTCCTCCTTCCTCCTCCTCCTCCCCTCCTCCTCCTCCTCCTCCTCCTCCTCCTCCTCCTCCTCCTCCTCCTCCTCCTCTCCTCCTCCTCCTCCTCCTCCTCCTCCTCCTCCTCCTCCCCCTCCTCTCCCTCTCCTCCTCCTTCCTCCTCCCTCCTCCTCCTCCTCCTCTCCTCCTTACCTCCTCCTCCTCCTCCTCCTCCTCCTCCTCCTCCTCCTCGGGGGGGGGCTGGCCCAAGGGGAGGGCGGGGCGCGCGCGGACTGCCCCCTCTTGGTGGTCCCGGCTGGCCGCCACCGTCCGGGGGCGGTCCCAGCACCCCCGCGCCGCCTCCGGCGGCGCCTCGGGGGCGCTCCGCTCCCCGGGTCGGGACGACCGACATGGGCACGGAAAGAAAAGGTACGATGCCCAACAGCAATTCCTGTTCATTTTGAACAGGACTCGTTGTCCGCGCCGCCGCGGCCTGTGTCCATTTGAGACATAAGACCGCCTGCTGAACAGCGGCAGATGTTGGTTCGGGACAGCATTTGTTGTTGGGCATCGTACCCATTCTTTCCGTACCCATTTCGGGCGTCCAAACCGGGACTAATGCGGCGAGACTGCCTCAGACTCTGCGGGGGGGGATGTTGAAGACGGCCATTTGGGGGTGCGGTCTGCGCGCAGCCCGACGACGTACTGGGCAGGGGCCAGGGGCAGCGCGAGGGGAGGATGGGCTCATGGGGGGGGGCACCGACCCCCCAAGAGACCAGTGATTCGGCAGCCACTCGCGTGAGCCGTGCATGGCATTCAGATTAGCGTGCAGTCGATGAGAAAGCGCCGGCGTGGTGTCGATTCGCGCCGACGTACTCGTGTCGAGGAGCGTCCGTCGATCAGCGTCGACTGGCAACTCGGCGGCGGGCGCGGGGGGGAAATGAGAAGGGGCGGGACTTCCGAGGCTTCTGAGAAGTTTCTGGACTTCTGAGAGGGCTTCTGAGAAGTTCTGTCTGTATTCGAAATAGGCCAAGGAAACGTCTCAGAAGCCCCCCGGACTTCTAAGAAGTCCCGCGGCCTTGTGAGAAGGCCTTCTCCTTCTCATTTCCCCCCTGGGCTCGTCGACTGGCAACGGCACAACAGGGTGACCCGGGAGGCCCCCGCGCATGGCCACCGAACGTTGATCGCCGATGGGCGCCCCTGGGGGGGCCGACGTCCTGCCCCGCCCAGAGGTCTGCGGATTTGCCATGGCGGCCGATGTCCAATCCGTTGGCGATTCTTGGTCCATGCCCCCCCCTCCTCCTCCTCCTCCTCCTCCTCCTCCTCCTCCTCCTCCCCTCCTCCTCCTCCCCTCCTCCTCCTCCTTCTCCTCCTCCTCCTCCTCCTCGTCCTCCCTCGTCCTCGTCCTCCTCCTCCTCCCCCCTCCTCCTCCTCCTCCTCCTTCTCCTCCTCCTCCTCCTCCTCCTCCCTCCTCCCTGCGCCCCCCTCCCTGCGCCGGTCACCCCCGTATCGTTGCCCCCGCGAGGAGGCCGAAATTGCTCTCGCTCTTCCGCGACCCCGTTCCGGATGCCACCCCTGGGAGGGTCGCTTCGGCGCCGGCGCTGGCATGCCCGTTGTCGAATAAAAGTGCCATCTTGGTTTAGTTCCGCGCAGTCCCGTTTCATCCAGCTTAATGCTGGCATAACATAGGTTCGTCGGGTTCAGTGGGCGCCGTTGTCGCGCTTCTTGGTCCGTACGTCGTCGTTCTCGCCACGAGTTCCGGGAAGTTGCCTCCTAACCCCGTGCCTGCTGGGCACCGCTGGCACTGGTTGAGAATGCTCGCGAGCGACCCTTGCACCACGCCCCCAGTGTAATTCTTCCCAGGGAATATCACCACCAGCAGCAGCATCAGCAACACGCAGTCAGCACGGCGCAAATGCTATGTAACGGCAGTGCGCAGCACGTGCGATGTAGCAGTGAAGTTTGGTAGGTGTAGTGGCAGCGGTTGTGGCAGCAGTTGGTGCAGCAGCAATGGCGGTGCAAGGCACAGCGGTGATAGCAACACCAATGGTAAACGCAGTCAGTCGTGTTGTCAGCTTCAACAACAGCAAATGTGATAGCATCCACTAATCATTGTATTCGCAGCAGTCGCGAATGCCGTGCTAGTGGGAGCAAGAGTCGCCGTGCTAGTGGTAGCGCTCGCGGTCGTAGTCGTTGTCGTCGTCGCCGAGCCAGTAGCAATTGCAGTAGTAGGTCAAGTCGTAGGAACAACAGCGGCAGTACGAATCGCAGAGGGCGTAAGAGTTGTATGAGTGTGAGGGGGCGCGTGAGCGTACGCCCTCTACTGTTGCGCGACCCATTCACCCGACGTCGTTTTTCTTACGGCGTGGCGCTCCCAAGGCCTAGACCCATTCCCCTGGGACCAGCTTCTCATCCTGAGGAGTTGTTTGTTGCACGGCCCTCCAGGCCTGGTGTGGCCACCCAAAGGATCGGGGGCACCCAAACGATGGGCTGCCCACACCGCGAGGTGAGTCAGTGGGGATCCAGGGTCACCGCATGATGGTGGGATTCGGGTCGCGCTCCGAGGGCGTCTCGGGCGAGGGGGGCCTCCAGGGTCCCAAGGCCGTGCGGCGATTGTCCGTTCGGTGTGGTCCTTAGGGGATTCCGAGGCCCCATGCGGTCCGTCACCTCACGCGTTGGGGGCCCCGAAGCGGGGGACGATACTCCAGATTTCGTAATAAAGGGAGGGGGGTCTCATTTCGGGGGGGGTCTCTTCCAGGCTATCTTGGAGGGCCTGGGGGGGTCTGGGGACGATGTTTTGGAGGGTTCTCCCACGGGGGGGTCTAAAACTTCTCGTCTGGGAGGGTTGAGACCCCCTCCCTTTTATTACGAAATCTGGAGTAGCCAGCCACATAGTTGCCCGTCACGAGTGCTCCACGACGCGGGAACGTCAGGGGAAGGAGCGCAGCCCGTCACGACCCCGGCCCACGCCCAGCCCTGGAGAACTGCAACTGCTAGAGCGCTGTAGGATTGCTAGGAGCGGACTCCCGTCAAGAGCGAAGGTGCGCAGCGCCCGCGGCGCGGAAAAGGGACGAGGGGAGGGGCGTCACCTCCTCGGCGACCTGTTTGCCTCCCAGGAGGAGCAGGAGGAGGGGAGTTGCGACGACGACGGGGACGAGGAGGAGGAGGAGGTGGAGGAGGTGGTGGAGGAGGAGGAGGAGGAGGCGAGAGGAGGAGAAAGGATGCAGGAGTGAGGAGGATGTGGAGGAGGGAGGACGATGAGGGACGAGGAGCTGGGCGGGTGGATGTGTGGGAAGAGCGAGGAGGAGCAGGAGCAGGAGCAGGAGCGAGGAAGGAACAGCCGCGTAATCGCAAACTTTGCGTGGGCTTCGCGGGTATCTTCGGCCGGCGACCCCTCTGGCGGCGCCTCCGGCGGCTTCCCCGGCGCGCTCCGCGCGTCAAGTGAGGGAGGGAGTCAAGCGCCAAGTTTGGAAATTCGCGCGGACGATTTCTTTGTTCTTGTTGTTTCTCGTGGAAACAGTAGGGCCGCGCGAGCCTGAAACCTTGCGGCTAGATGACTTATGCACAGAACCCGTGCACATCCTGCAGGGGCGATCTTGCTGCGTGTGGCCTCGCATGAATATTCAAACATCGCAAAACAAATTTAATATGGGGACGATGCCGTCTAGTCTTTTTTGGGTACCTTTGAATATTTGCGGGGCAGTCTTTCATTTTCGCCCCGGATCCGCCTGTAGGGGGACGTGCCCGACCTAACGCTGAACCGACTTCCACCCGAGGAAGCGAGGCCCCCCGGGACCCCAGGCCGCTGCGCGCGCCTGGCGCCTGAGGCAGCCCTTGGGCCAGAGTGGCTGCGCAGGAGGAGCAGGAAGAGGGAAAGAGGATGGGGAGGGAGAGGATGGAGAAGGCGAGAAAGGGAGGAGGAGGAGGAGGAGGAGGAAGATGAGGATGAGGAGGATGAGGAGGCGGAGGAGGAGGAGGAGGGGGAACTGGGGGGGGGGAACGGGCGAGCAGCGGGGAATGGGGAGTGAGGAGGAGGAGGAGGAGGAGGAGGAGGAGGAGGAGGAGGAGGAGAGGAGAGCAGGAAGGGAGGGAAGGAAGGAGGAGGAGGAGGAGAGGAGAGGAGGAGGGAGGAGAGGAGGAGGAGGAGGAGGAGGAGGAGGGCGAGGAGGAGGGCGAGGAGGAGGAGGAGGAGGAGGAGGAGGAGGAGGAGGAGGAGGAGGAGGAAGAAGGGGCCATGGGGAGGAGGAGGGGGGTGGAGGGGGGGTCGCCATCTCCTCCCCCCCCTTCTGACAAGTCCTGGCGCCCACACCCGCGTCCCGAGCCCCGGGCGGCCTGGAGGCATCCTTCTGGAGCGGCCTTGATTCCCGCTGTTCGACCCACGCCGCTTCCAAGTCCGAGGAAGAGTAAGCGTGAATCGAGGCGCGTTGACGAGCGCCGGGCCCCGCTCCCATGCAAGATTCGACGCGGTCCGTCGTCGCCAAATCGCGTGCTACGCCACGTTTCGGGAGACGGTCCCCCCCCATCCGTGTTGAGCGCGCGCCCGACGTCGGTTGCCGCGCCGCTGCGTCCCAGTCTGCGGTCGGTCCCTCGGGCTCGGTGCCTCGCCGTCGGTTGGGTCGGGCTTCGGCCGTGCTGCCGCCGCCGTGGGCGACAGGGGGTCGACCCAGACGGTGCTTTTCTGGCGAGTTCGTTGGCCATTTTCGTTCCGATCCCGCTCTGCATTGAGTCGGGCATGTCCCTCCACAGAAGGAGCATGCAATAATTGTTGCCTCTAGTCAGGGGACGTTGCTTCATGCTCTTCTGACGATTGTTGCGTGTGGTGTGGTTCTGTTTGATTGTTCGTCCAGAGCCCGCCTGCAGGAGGACATGCCCGACCGGACCTCTGCCGCAGGGCTCCGGATTGGAGGCAGCGAGGGAGCACGAGAGCCTCACGAGGACGAGAAGCGCGATTCGGGGCGAGGCCCGGTGGACGACATCGCCTCTCCCCCGCCTGCTCCATCCTGCCGAGGGCACATGTAGCGCTGGGCGGCGGCGCGCGGCGCGGCGCGCGCGCGCGCGGCGGCCGCGGGATGGCCGACTGGGAGGCCGGCCCCCCGAAGTGTGGGCGGGGATCGCTCGGCGGCGCGCCTGGCCTTCTTCGGGGGTGGACAAAACCCCCAACAGTGACACGTCGATTAGTGAATTGTCCGTTTTCGGTTCTCGAGAGGGCGCCGCGGCCGCTATTTTCCAGGCCTGCGCCCGCCAGGTTTGGGCCTCAGGTCGTTTTCACTAAACCACGTTTTACTAAAGGGGGGTCTGTCCATCCCCGACTTCTGCGGAGGCCTTCTCCTTACCAGCCTCGAACGTATCCCTATCCCTAAGATTGACACGCCAAAAGGCGATGACAATCTTAGGGACTCGCCCTCAAAAATAAGGGAATCCCTAAGATTGGCATCGTGATGAGGAGGTGCCCAGCATAGGGATAGGGATATGTTCCAGGCTGGTAATCTCCTTCTCTTTGGGAAGGAAGGAGGAGAAGGCCCCGTCTCGGATCTCAGAGGGTGGCGGGGCTTCCCAGAAGGCCACCGGCCTTCCGAGAAGCTTTCTGTGTCTTCGGGGCGGGCGTATACAAAAAAACATTCGGAACGGCGGGGGACGTCCGAGCCTCCAAAGAAGGTTCGCCCCTTTTCACTTCCCCCCGGGCTCGCCGCCGAAAGAGAAGAGAGGAACAAGGCGTCCAGGCCTCACAGGTGGCGCTGGAGCAGATGGTGTCGGAGGATCACGCCGCATCGTTGATGCATCGGCGATGCGGTGCGATCTGGTGATCCTGTTTCCCAATCCCGACATCACCGACGCATCGCCGATGCATGGGCGATTTGGTGCGATCCTCCGACCCTGTCCGCTCTGGCCCCATGTGGGAGGCATCCACGGCATGAAGGGCAGCAGCAGGAAGAGGATGAAAACTAGCAGCAGTTGGAAGGAAAAGCAATTCGTTCGGCCGTGTTGGTCGCGATGCTCTGGGATGGCCGAAGCGGGGGGGGGGGCCCTGACCTCCTCGCGTCGTGAAGAAATATGATGCAAGGTTGTTGGCCGTCTTCGGTCTTGCGGGCGCCCCCAGCATTGCGTTATCGCGCTGGAAGTGATTGGAGGGACGTACCTTCCGATTTTGCGTTCTGTGCGGCAAGGGCGGATCGCGGCGCACTCCTCGCGCGAGTGGTGAGGCTCAGCCGAGGGTTCAGCACTGCTCCGGGCGGAGTGCCGCGGTGAGAGGAATTTCTGGGAACGACCCGCCCGAGGTCCGCCGCAACCAATTCTCATGTTATGGGGGCGAGGGCGGGGTCTGCAGACCCTTCGGGGTTAGGGTTCGGACTTCGTCGAACACGTGGCGAAATCCGAACACCACCCCCGACGCCCATCGGTTCCGGAGAACCGACGTCGGTCCGAACGAAAGGTGGGGATAGGGAAAGGGGGGGGGTACGAAATCTGCTGCATGCAGCTGGTTTCGGCCCCGCCGCCGGGCCCATTCCTCGATACATGGGCGCCTCCCGGCGCCAGGAGGCGCTGGGATAATCTGCTACGCGAGCTGATTCTCTACCCTGCCCTTTGCTATTCCCCCCTTTCGTTCTCCCCGGCGATGGCTGGCGAGGGCAGGGCAGGGCCCCAATCGGAGGCCGTGCCCAATCGGAGGCCGTGCCCGACGGGAGCGCTCGTGCGTCGCCCGCCTCGCCCCTCGAGGCCAAGGCCGCTTGCCTGATGTCGGGCCTGTCCCTCTACAGGAGGAGTATTCAAGCCCAGTCAAAACATAGTCTGGGGACGATTCGTTCTAGCATTCTCGTTAGATTTTGAATCGTTTCGCCCATGTCGTATTTGTTCTTCCACAATCCGCCTGGAGGAGGACACGCCCGACCTGACGCTTGCCCCGCCAGAAGACTGCGGGTCACTTTGGCCTGCAAGCTGCCACCCCCTGCAGACAGCAACATCGACTCCCCTCCCATCACGCACCAGGCAGTCGAACTTTGGGAGGAGGGCCGGCTTTGGTTTCTGATTGGGCTCGACGTTCGCGTATTCCCGCGGGCCCTCTGGCGCTCCTCTTGCTCGTGGGCACAGGCGCTGGTGAGGCCCGAGAGGGGCTGCGTTCATCATCCTGAGTTCTGACGAGGACAAATCTGACGCTCTGAGAAGGTCGCGGCGCCCAAGACATTCCCCAGAGCCGCCAGATCTCAGAGATGTTCGTCTTCTCCCCACCCGATATTGTCCTCGTCCCGCGCCAAAATTGCTTGATGCCCACTACGGCACCAACAAATACCCAAAACAAATCAAACAGCGAAAGAAACAGACCGGCTTCGTCTTGATGCATTTGGCGCCTCCAGCGCCGGGGAAGTCAGCGACGGGAGGAGGAGGAGGAGGAGGAGGAGGATGAGGAGCAGGAGGAGGAGGAGGAAGAGGAAAAGGAGGAGGAGGAGGAGGAGGAGGCGGAAGAGGGAAGAGGAGGAGGAGGAGGAGGACGCGGGCCGATTCGCCCTCCCCCCCCCTGTGACCGCGCTCGGGGGGGACCCACGGCGCGGCGCCCGCCGCGCGCGCCAAGGCGATCTCGGAGGATGTGCTGCGGGAGACCGACGTTGCCTACGAGCAGGAGCGGGAAACCTCCGAACGCCTCGGGTCCTCATTATCATGGCGGCGCCAACATCGCAGAGCGGATGTCGTTCGGAAAACGATCGGGTGGGCCCGGGGTGTCCTGGAGAGTGTCGTTCCGGATTTTGAGGTGAGTGTCGTGCGGATTCTTTTTTTGTTGGCCAGGAATGAAGACCAAAAAGAACCCACGCGAAGTTCACTCCGTTTTTCGCTCGCCGTTTCGGGTAAACATCCACGCCGGAATCCGCTGCAGCACATTTGCAAGGCCGGTGCAATGACTCGGGCCATGAAACAATCACGCCTTTGTTTGTTTTTCATTTCTTTGTTCGACCTCCGGGGGCCCTCACTGGGCCTCGGCACTGTCAGACAGACAACGACGCAGGACAGAAAACCACTCCCGGGGAACGGGTCGAGGCCTCTGGGTGTCGACGTTGCGAAGACATCAAGACGTCGGGGTTTGGGGGAGGGTACCGACGGGCGTCGCAGTTTTGGCGCTCCGGGCGTCCTCGCCAGGCTTCGGGCCCCAGGACTCGCTGATCGATCCGGCTCGACAGATGCAGCAGAGTGGTGGAGTCTATAGGGCTCCAGCCGTGAGAGTTTTCGCGATGTTGCATTCTATTCGCAGCGGTGGATCTCATGGAAGATACCAATTGACCTCTGCTCGTCCGTCCCGGAGATCCCTCGCTAAGAATTCCACCTGCCGTCTCAGATGGCCCCTCCCTCGCGAACCCCCCTTTTTGTGCGTCCGTTGCCCCCCCCCCCCCCCCCTGGGCGGCGCACGTGCTACGGGCCATGATTTTGCGAACCCCACTGTTGACCTCCCCCTCCCATGGACGCCCCGACAAAGCCGACCTCTGGACTTACGTCGGGCCTGTCCCTCCACAGGAGGAATCTTCTAAAATAGTCCAGACAAGAGTCTGGGGACTATTTTGTTTGACTATGTTCGACTAATTTGGGACATGTCTTGGCTATTGCTGTATTCTTCGCCAGAAGTGCGCCTAGACCCACTTCTAGACTTCTTCGGCAGCGAAGTCTGGTCCGCATGCCGACAGGCGGATCCAGCCGTGGAGGCGAGGGGCCTCTCCCGCGCGAGCCCCGGGAGGGGACAGCCATCCTGGAGGCGTGCCTTCGAGCAGTCCAGCCCCTTCTTCTCTATATATCTCGTCCTCCTCCTCCCTCCTCCCTCCTCCTCCTCCTCCTCCTCCTCCTCCCTCCTCCTCCTCCTCCTCCTCCTCCTCCCCCTCCTCCTCCCCCTCCTCCTCCTCGGAAGCTGCGCGCGTTTCGAGGGGGCGACTCGTGTGGCACGAGTCGCCCGCGTGGCCCGGGCAGGAGGGGACGGATGCGGGGAGAGGGGGAGGAGACAGGGGAGAGGGAGCAGTGACAGCAGAGGGACCGCCAGTAGCAGGAGCAGGAAGCGGGAGCATCACGGGAAGAGGAGCGGGGGAGGGAGGACGGGAAGCCAGAGGGGGAGGGGAGGGATGGATCTGAGGAGCGTGGACCACAAGACGAGGACGAGCAAGAGGAGGGGCGCGAGAACGATCTGAGTCTCGCTTTCTCTGGGATTTGTCCAACCTCTGGGCGGCGTCGAGGAGCTGCAGCAGAATCCGTACAGCGTCAAGCTGTGGTTCGCCTACATTCGTGCCAAGGCTCCTTCCATGTGCCCATGCCCCGCCTGCTCCTCTCACCCCCCCTGCGTCTCGGATGTGTCAACGGCCCTCCTGCAGCTCAAATTCATGACGCTCCGCGTAACCCAGCAGCCTTCGCTTTGACCTGACTCGTCGCCGGCGCGCTCGTCCGCGGCCGCTGACTAAAAAAGTATCCCCACCAGCCGATCCAGAAACGGTCAACATGCATTTTGCATTGATAAGGGAAGGCCAGGAGCGAACCGTCGCCCAGAAGGGTTGGTGGTGGGACACCGAATACATTCGAAAGTCTGCCCATGCGTGCTGACATGATCGAGGGAGTCTGACGGCATGCAGCGGAACAGCCGCATGTGAAGCGTGGCGGGAGCGCAGAGTGAGGGAAGGAGGATCTTTTGATGGAGTTCCCAAGTGATCCCATGCCTTGCTCGTACCATTCTTACCTCCTTGAGGGGTATCTCAAATGGAATGGAGGCGCGGCGGGGGCGAAGAAAGGGACGGGAACATATGTTGAGTCGTGTAACATTTCACGAATGGTCCCGTGCCGCGGCGGCCACATTGGCTATCGCCGTTGTCGAGGAAGGGGCAATCATCCAGATTTCCGAGGTGGACGATCGAGGAAGCCCGTGCCCTTTCCTACCCAGACCTCCCAGCGATGCGATGCGATCCGATTCGCTAGCTGGGCCCACGAGTCCGGTTCTCGATTCGATGCGGCTCGGTAAACCCAGGTCACAAGGGGCGTGAAACAAATGATACTGGTTCGCGCATCGTGGCCTGGGTTGGAGAGCAGGGCAGCGGCGCGAGGGTGCGAAGATTTCCCGCGTGGCGCCTCGCGGGGCGCGATGCGCGAAGATAGGTTCGGCTGGGTTTACCGGTCTTGGCCGGGGCCAGCCGGAGCCAGACTCGGCGATCCGAGTTCGGTTCAATTCGGGATGTCTCATTGGCGATCCGATCCAGCCCTGATTTGATCCGATGTGATCCGGTCTCGCTGTTCGGTCCAGCCCAGGCTTGACGCAGACGTCAGGTCCTCTTCCCTCTCATCCTTCCTGCCCCTCATTGAGATGCAATTCCCAATCCATTTGTATCCTGTTAAGTGTTGGGCTTAGTCTGGGCAAGTCTGGCTCAATGGCTCCATAACCGGTCCTGTCATTTGTCAGTGGTTATTGTGAGGATTGTTGCGGAGTTGCTTCCCAAGAGACCAGCGATCACCTGGGTTATCAGGCCCGCCCGCACCGCCCGCCCTGGATAATTTGTCCTCGTCGGTTGCGCAGCTCCCAAGGGGGTACGCAGTACATGTGCCCGCGGGCACACGTGGGGCTGTCCAAGCGAACAGGTTATGTTACCTCATCGCCGAAAAATAATCAGGAGCTACCCGTCGGTCGTTGAGGGTATGTATTCTTGGTTCCCCACATCCCAACCTACTTCTAGTGACTTCCTACTTCAAGAATCGGTATGCCCGTGCTCTGTTTTGTTATTCTCTAGGGAGCCTGAACACAATCTTCTGCAACCGCCTTGCTACCACATTGTTTGGCCTGCTCTTTCCGACTGACGTGTACACGCCGGTCGTTGAAAGCAGGTATTCCTGGATGCCCAAGTCCCGGCCTGCTTTGGGCGCCTCCCTGCTTCGAGCGTCGAGTGGCACTACCTCTGCCCTCGTCCTCAGATGGCGGGCGGATGCACCTCCTGGGAGGTCAACTTCAGGCTTTCCCCTGGTCCGACATCCGGGCTGATCGTGTTAATCTGGGTCAATGCCGCGTAATCCAGCTTGATCCCGCTGAATCCGCGACCTGACTCCGCGCAGCAGCTTCCCGACTGGGCTTAATCTTCTATGATTTTCCCGACGAAGACCTCCCAGTCGTTGCCTCCTGGCAATCAGTTGTGTCAGCGTCTCCTTACTTCCTGCCTTTGCCTGCTCCCTCCGACCGACGTATCGTGACCTTTCTCTTGCTCGCTGTGTTGCGGCTCGGCGCGGGCCGTCGCGCCCCCCCCATCCCCCCCCCCCCTCGTGGAGCAGAGCCTGGCTGTTTGGGGGCGCCGGTTTCGAGCAGGTGGAGCCCTCCCCCCCTGGCACGCACGGCTGCAGACAGCCGCACCTAGGCAGAGGTCCAGGGCCAGACCCCCCCCCTCCCCCCCTCCCCCCCCCCCCTTCCCCCCCTTCCCCCCCTTTCCCCACCTTTCCCCCCTTCCCCTCCGTTTCGTAATTCGGCGTTTCGACATTGGGCGGAAGGGGAGGGGAGGGAGGGGGGGGGGGGCAGACTTCTGCTTCATGCGACTGTTTGCGGCAGTGCCGCCTCTGGGGGAGGCTCCTTCTGCTCGAAACGCGCGCCCCCAAACAGCCAAAGTCTATTCCACTTGGGGAGGGGGGAGGGGGGGGGGCGAGGGCCCGCGGAGATCGGCAAAACAAGGCATACGAAAACGACCACATCCACAGCCCGTGCTCCCCCCCGTGCTCCACAGCCAAAGTCTATTCCATTGGGGAGGGGGGAGGGAGAGGGGGCGCGGGCCCGCGTAGATCGGCGAAACAGGGCATACGAAAACGATCACATCCACAGCCCGTGCTCCCCCCCGTGCTCCACAGCCAAAGTCTGTTCCATTGGGGAGGGGGGGGGAGGGGGGGGGGGGAGGGCCCGCGCAGATCGGCAAAACGAGGCATACGGAAACGATCATATATCCACAGCCCGTTTCTCCCCCCGAGAGGCGCAGGCGCCGCCCCGGGTGCGGTGTCTGATCTACGAGCGCGCGGTCAAGGAGCGCACGCCGTTCCGGCCGCCCCCGGCCAGCGCTCGTCGTCGTCCTCGTCCTCGACGCTCGACGCTCGCTGACGTTCTCGTGGGCTCCTGGAGGGAGCCACCCGAGCACTCTCCGAGACCACAGGGAGGGGGGGGGGGGGGGGGCCCAGAGGGCCAGCAGAGAGGAGAAGGAGGAGGAGGAGGAGGAGGAGGAGGAGGAGGAGGAGGAGGAGCACGGCAGCCCGGACGTCTTCGGTCTTCGTGGGTTCGGACGTGCATTGACTCGAAGAAGCATCGCCGCAGACATAAGCTTTTGGCGCTCCGCGCGGGGTTCCTGGATCCGCGCTGGCCCCCCCCCCCCCCCGGGCGGCGCCCCCGGCGCCGCAAATGGCGCCCTCCGCTCGCCAGGAAGGGGGGGTCCAGCGCGGATCCAAGAAATCCGCGCAGAGCGCCAGAATTTTGACTCGGGTTTGCGTGTAGGGTTTCGCAAGACCCGTTGGGCCTGGGCTTGCATTGGCCCGGGTCAGTGCGTCGCCGACGGATCTTTTGAAGGGGCACGAAGATAGTGCGCGTCGCACATCCAAGAAATCCGCACGGGTTTCCGAAAGCGTACGTTTCTTTTTACCTAACAGCGAAGACTGATAGGTTTCTAGTGGTCTAAAAAGAGCTCACAGATCACTCCACAGGGGGGTCCGGGCAGGTGTTGGGAGTTGCCGGGCGGCAGGGTGCCGGGCTCGTTTTTCGCCAACAGTCACACACTTCGTGCTCTTCGACTTCCCAGAACTCCATTCCCAGGCCACATTCTGGAGGGCCGGATGCAACTGTAGGCCACTTCGTGCTCTTCGATTTCCCAGAACTCCATTCCCGGGCCACATTTGGATGCCCGGAGCCAACTGTAGGCCACTTCGTGCTCTTCCATTTCCCAGAACTCCATTCCCGGGCCACATTTTGGATGCCCGGAGCCAACTGTAGGCCACTTCGTGCTCTTCGAATTCCAGAACTCCCGGGCCACATTTTGGATGCCCGGAGCCAACTGTAGGCCACTTCGTGGTCTTCGAGTTCCCAGAACTCCATTCCCGGGCCACATTTTGAATGCCCGGAGCCAACTGTAGGCCACTTCGTGTTCTTCGAGTTCCCAGAACTCCATTCCCGGGCCACATTTTGAATGCTGAGGCAGGCTGATGCTGAGGCTGAGGCAGGCTGAGGCTGAGGCAGGCTGAGGCTGAGGCCGAGGCTGAAGGCAGACTGAGGCTGAGGCTGAAGCAGGCTGAGGCTGAGGCAGGCTGAGGCTGAGGCAGGCTGATGCTGAGGCAGGCTGAGGCTGAGGCTGAGGCTGATGCAGGCTGAGGCTGAGGCAGGCTGAGGCTGAGGCCTGAGGCTGAAGGCAGACTGAGGCTGAGGCTGAAGCAGGCTGAGGCTGAGGCTGAGGCAGGCTGAGGCTGAGGCAGGCTGAGGCTGAGGCTGAGGCAGGCTGAGGCTGAGGCTGTGACTGTGACTGCCGTTGCCACTGCGACTGTCATCGCGAATGCGACTACGACTGCGAGAACAGCAGAATTCTACAACTGGATTCTCATCTGAATCTTAAGGGGAATGCTTCCAGATATGCTCCTACACATCGCTGTTAGGTTGCTTTGCCGGGATAATTTTATGGTGTTTTTGTTCGCCAGGTTCGGGGTGATTTCCAGCAGCACCGCCTCGCGGACAGCGTTACGGGGTGTGCCCGATTCGTCCCAAGGGACTGTCGGGAGCACGCGTTGTTACCCGCGAAGCTGACCAAAACGTGATGGAATACTGTTGACCACGTCCGGCTTCCCTGACATGCGTACGGCGTGAAGGAAAACCATGACTGAAGTTTTTTGGCAGTTTTCTTCCTCCCAGGGCCCTGACCAGGTCCCAGGCAAGTCAAACACGAGTCGGGATAACGAGCTGGTCCCTGGGACAGGATCCAGACCTTTGGGGAGCCACGTCGTCAACAATCAGTGAACATACGCCGTCAGATCTCTGGGCACTGGGGAGGGGGGTGGCTCACATCTGGCCAGTGTGTTCGACGTGTTCGGCCTGTGGAGGCCGTCTTTTGATCCTGGTGGACCGTCAGAGCACACTTCAGGATGCAAGGCCAGCCCCAAGGAAAGGGTCAGTATCCTGGAGGGCCCACATTACGAAAAAATGTGACGTCGGAGTGAAGGGGAGGAGGAGGAGCGGAGGAGGTACTTTGGGCACGTTTCTGTATCGAATGGCATTCGGCCCATCACGCCACCGTGCCTTGGCTGCGGGTATGAAGCCTATGGGATATTCGTTGGGATCTCGTGTGGGGGCCTCTCGGGGGCCTCTTGGAGGTAGTTTCGAGGCCTCTTGGGGTCCGTTGTGGGTCCTCTTGGGGCCTCTTTTGGACCTGGGCCTCTTGAGGGCATCTTGGGGCCTCTTGGGGGCCTCCTAGGGCCTCTTGGGGCCTCTTGGGGGCCCCCTGGGGCGGAAGGCTGGTATTTTCGATTCATGCTCCCTCTCTTGGGCCTCATTTGGGGCCGTCTTGGAGCCATATTGGGTTGTCTTTGGCGTAGGACGCTCTTAGGCTGTCTTGTGGCCCTCTTGGAGGCCTCTTGGGCAGTCTTGGAGTGGTCTTCGGGGCCTCTTGAGCCGTCGTGGAGCGTCGGAAAGCCGAACAGTCGAGAACGCCCAATCTATCAAAAACCTTAGGGCAATCAATTGTTTTTACCCCTTGGAGCCCTCTTGGGGGGGGCTCTCAGAGGCCTCTTGTGGCGTCTTGGAGGCCTCTTGGGCCATCTTGATGCCATCTTGGGCGTCCTGGAGCGATCTTGGGGCGACTTGGGGCCCTCTTTGACCATATCGGGGGCCTGTTGGAGCCATCTAGGCTCATTTGGGTGCCCTCTGGGCAGGGTGGGTCGACGCGAGCGCTTCTGGCGGACCCCGGGGACGCCCAGGAAACGCCTTGTCCGGGCCCTACAAGATTTGCAATTCTTGCTGCAGCAGCACAGTCCTCTCAGTGTTGCACGAGCCTTGAGGCACTCCACTTCGTGCCAGAGGCACGGTGGCGGATGTGGTTGGTAAACTTGTTTGGCGAAGTTAGGAGAGTGTGGGCATCGATTCTTGGCCCAGGATGGGCCCAGCCAGGATCAGTGCAGATGTGCAGCTTGGCGCTCTCCTGAGCGAGGGGGGGGTGAAGGAATTGATGTGGTTGTTGTATAGTTGGGTGTTATTTGACCCTGCTCGGGACTGGATGTCTCAGTGGACTTTACGGGACATCCAGAGGCCTCTGGAGCGGGTTCTCAAGACCTTTGGATGCCTATAGGGATCTTTGCATTCCAGCGGCCCGAGGTGCCCGTTGCGGGCTCGGAGGTCTTGACTGATCGATTTGGCCCGATAACCCATCCCGCATAGAGATGGGGATGACTGTCGTAGGTGTCCAATTCTGGGGATCAGCGGGGATGGATATCATGGCCAGGGATATCATAGGCGGCCATGCAATCTCCCTGGATTTCATTGCCGCCTATTTTTCTTTCAATACATCCCTTGGTCCCCCCCTCGTCCGCGAACATACTTTGGCCATCATTTGCGACCCTCCCTCTTGGACGCCCCCCTCTTGGACGCACCCAAGAGTGGGTCTGGTCGTAACATCTGAACGCAAGAACTACCATTTGTTGTGCGGTCTCACGCTCAATGGCCGTGCCTGGCGTTGCCTGGCGTCGTCTGGTCGAAAGGCCGTCGAATTCGATATGTTCGGGCGTATTTTGATTTAACAGTGTGTCGATCCTTGTCTGCTAGTTCCTTTGATGAGCGACCTGGAGTTTTACCAACCATCCTGGGATGTTGGCTCTTCGTTTTGGAGACACAGCGCCCTGCGTCTCCGTCCTCCTTACACCTCCCTCCTCCTCCCTCCTCCCATCCCTGCCTCTGCCCTCCGCATGCCAACCAATTCGGCACACCCCGCACACGCTTTGTGGCCCCATAGAGAGCTTCACCGAAGGCTCCAGTGGCAGGGTTCGCATGCGCTTCCCCGCCCATTCCGACATACCCCACACACGTTTCGTGCCCGCATAAGGAGCTCCACCGACGGCCCCAATGGCAGGATTCGGATGCGGCTCCCGTTTCGGCACACCCCTCACACGTTTCGTGACCCCATAGGGAGCTCCATCGACGGCCCCAATGGCAGGAGTCGGATGCGTTTCCCCGCCCGTTTCGGCACACCCCTAACACGTTTTGTGGCCCCATAATTAGCGAGCTCCACCGACGGCCCAATGTGTGTAGTGTTTGCACACCACTTCCACGCTTTGTGGCCCCATAGGCAGCTCCGCCCAGGGCCCTGGTGGTGGGGTTCGCATGCGGTTGCCCGCCCAGGGGCCCCACAGGGAGCTCCACCCACGGCCTCAGCGGCAGGGTTCGCATTCCGTTCCCCGCCCATTTCGGCACACCGCTGACGCGTTTCTTGGCCCCATAGGGAGCTCCACCGGAGGCCCAGTGGCAGGGTTCGCACGCGATTCCCCCCTCTATGTCGGCGCACCCCCTACACGTTTCGTGGTCCCACTGGGAGTTCCACCGCACCCCTTTGTGGCAGGGTTCGGATGCGGTTCCTCTCCCATTTCGGCTCGCCCTTCACACGGTTTGTGGCCCCACGGGAAGATACGCCGAAGGCGGTGCCACGACGCGGTACCCACAACCGGCTATGGTTGGGTCGTTCGGCAAGATTGTACCCCTCCTTGTAATCATGCTTATGGTTCCTCGTGCTCTACTTCGTCCCTCCCTGTGCTTCCTTGTTCTATATGTGGGCTTCCCTTTGCATACGACATGTTCCCAGTCCGCGGCGGGGCCACATCTGCTGTCATATGGGCTGTTGATTCTCCGCTGGTGCTTTAGTTTGGACATGTTCCAGTTTTTGCCTGGTCCGTTTGTGAGTGTTTTTTCTACTATGGCCGATTACTAGGGCCCCGCCTGTTGCGGTACGATATACGTGGTGTATCGTGATGCGGATTGTGTGGTGTGCTATCACGGTTGAATTTTCTGGGAGGTTGAATGCAGCGTCTGCGCCAGCAGATCCATGGTCACGAATCGTCCTCATCCGGCTCAAAGCCGGTTTATTGTGCTCCATCCCGCCCAATCTGGCTCAATGTTGGTCCCAGTTCGGTGTAATCCAGTTTAGTAGCCTCATCGGGCTCATTCACCCGTATCCGTTCCCACAGAGACCTCCCAAGAGTTGCATCCCAATGCGACGCTTTGGTGCAATTGAGTACTGATACGAAGATCGAGCGCGAGCGGAGCGGGATAAGCTGACTAAAGATCTTTCTAATATCGTAGCAGCGGGCGAATGAGTCGCTCAAAGAACGCACAGTCAAACGCCATCATAAGGATGAGAAGTTGCCCAAGGGTACCCGTGATTTCTTGCCTCGTAGCATTGCACAAGGGGCAATGATCTTTCAATTTAGGATTCAATCTGGGAGCCCGATGGCCTTGCAACCTTGTCGCGCGTCGTTGTGCTCCAGTTGCGCTGTAGCGGGATTGTCCTGACTTGTCAGCATAGATGTGGCAATTTTAAGGACAGCCATACGGACAACGAGCGGTACAGTCGGCCCGGATTTGTAGGTTGACCCTGCCAGTTCAAGGGTACCCTTGTGTTCTGTGCCTCGCGACACTTGCCTTCTTACACTCCTATGGCGATGTGGCCCTCGGAAGGGTCTTGTGTCCTCTCGCGTGTCCTGTCCAATCAAGGCCGACTGTATCACATTGTGTGTTGTTTGAGCATGTGTCGCACCGTCATTGTTTCTGCGGCCCTCGTTCAGCTTTGTAACTGTGTGCGTGTGGCAGATAACGTAGCGTAGCACCATCATTTTAGAATGTTCGACTCGGAGGTTCAATTGAGCATCTGCGCGTTATCACAGACCGGCCTACTCTGGCATAATCCCGCTAGATCCAGCTTCATCTGGGGCTTAGATTGGCTAATCCGGTTCAATGGCCCGTTAGGTTCATTGGATTTTTAGCTCTTATTCTACACGCTTCGCGTATCCCCACCAGAAAAAAAAACACCAGTCGACGCTAAGATGCGTCTCAATGAGGGGCATTTTGTTCCTGGCATGTGCATGTACAGCAACTGCGAGCTTGTCTTGCAGGTGTGAGCTTTGTCTGCCGACTCTGGCGGCAAATTGTCTTGCAAATTAGCATCGTACCCTGTCCCGGACGCCGCTTCCGCTCCCTGTCCGTTGCCTGGGAGCCGCCGACCAAAAAAGTATCCCCACCAGCTGGACGTTGTGCTCGCTCCCTGTCTCTCGCCTTGGAGCCGCGAACCAAAACAAGTATCCCCACCAGCCCATCCATAAAAGATACCCAGGTGAGTTGCCCTTTATCAGGGATGTGGAGGAGCATGCAGCCGAATGAAGGGCTGGTAAAGCCGTCATATCTTCAGAGGGGGAGGATGAGGGAGAGGAGTAGAGTAGGGAGAGGGGGACGTATAGGGTGGAGGAGGGAGGAGGAGTAGGCGGACGAGGAAGTGGAGCAAGAGGAGGAGGAGGAGGAGGAGGAGGAGGAGGAGGAGGAGGAGGAGGAGGGCGACGAGAAAGGCCATTGGCCTCTTGGATGCCTCTCGGAGTCTCTTCGGATGTCTCTCGAAAGTCTCTTGGAGTCCTCTTGGGAGGTTCTTGGCGGCCCCGTGGCCCTCTTGGAGCGTCTCGGGTGCCTCGGGGGAGCCGGGCCTCTTGGGAGACTCTTGGGGGCCCTTCGGGGGCCTCTTGGGGCCTCCTCGGCGCCTCCTGGGACTCCTGGGACCCTCTTGGGGCACTCTTGGGAGCCTCCCTCTCTGGGGGCCATCTTGGAGGCGATCGATGGAATAAGGAGGCGTCGTTAGCCTTGCCCCACCCCCAGGAGGCCCAAATGGGGCCGACACCGAGGCCATCTCGGACGCTCTGACCCCTCTCGCCCCCCCCCCCCTTCCTTCGAGACCCAGTCGGAGGGGTTAGGGGAGGGGTGAATCCGTTTCCAACCGCTTCAACCTGCCCCCCAACAAAACAATGGGTACCAATTTCATCTAGCCATCTGGAGCTGACGAATCTGCTCTATGTGTAGAGTACCTTAAGGCGATGCAGAAATCAAATGCACGTCTGAAGAGACAACATGCGTGCCACAGGTGGAATCTGTTATGTTGACTATGCTGACTTGGGACTGAGCGGTGGTCGCCAGTCTCAGTCGAGCTTCACGGCCGGCGTATGAGAGCTGGACAGCTCGTACGACAGTTGCGCAAAACATCGCGTTACCTGGTCTTCATGTGAGAGTTGTGGGGACGAATCCCACCAGCGAGCAGTACACTAACCAGACAACACATGAACCTCAATGGAAAATCTAGGAAGTACTGAAGGAATCCCGAGCAATCCCTGAGGCATCATTCAGGCATCTCGTATGGAATCTTTTTGGCATATCCCAGGAATGTCTCGGCAATCTCTAGGGAGCTTCCAAAGCGGTTGGAATCTGTACCATTTTGGTTTGAATTGGTACCAACATGATTGTAATCTGGGTAGGAGAGAAGATAGAAAAGGAAAACCGGTAAAGTACTCACGCGCAGAGGGCTGGTGGGATTTGCATTTCTTACGAGGACCCTCTCATACGTTTGCCTCAGTGATGCAGAGTGCAGGGGGATATCCTTAGCCTCTTGGAGCCCTCCTCGGCCTCCTTGTTGTAGGGTTTCTCGTGCAGTCCGGGGGTGCCCTCGGGGGGTGTGCACTCCGCTCTGGGGCAGCCAGCTTTCTGGGCCTGCTGTGGCCGCCCTCGGCCTTCTCAGCGGTCCTCGTGCAGTCTTGGCTGCTTGGGGGGGGGGGGGCTGCGGGTCGGGCACCTCGTATGCGCCTTTTGGGAGGCGTGTGTGGCAGTCTCCTGGGGCTTCCTTGGTGGTCGTTGGTGCCTCCTCTCGTCGCAGGAGGTCCAAAAAAACACGATTTTGAGTTCTAGTGACCTGTCGGCAGCCCTGGACGCACCTTGGAGGTATCTTCGGAGTCTCGTGAGGACCTCTCGTGAGGACCTCGTGAGTCTCCTGAGGACGCGATTTGCATCCGCCGCCATCCCGTTTGTGTTGACACTCGTTTATGTAACATAGTTTGTTGGTTTCTTCCTACTGCCACCCTGCCTGCCCCCTTCCTCCATCTCCTACTTCTACTCCCAATGGAACGTTCTCCCTTTTCTCCTTCCCTTTTGCACTCGTCATACTCCCTCTCCCTGTCGGTACGTCGGTATTCACTTTATCACCTTTCTCGTACTTCGTTGTTGGTTGAACATGTCAGGTCGGTTTTGTGCAGCCTGCTCATGCTTGCGTAGCACGCCATCGTGCAAGTTGGTTCTTTCCTCTCCCCCATTTCGTCTTCTCCCACCCTCTTCGTCCTCCTTGTCCTTCTCCATGTCCTCCTCTTCGTCTTCGCTTCTATCCATTCTGTCAGTATGATCCACCCTTCCGTTTCATGATCCTTCGCTTCCTTCCCCTCCGCCTTCTCCGCCTCTCCACATCGTTGGCACACTTCTCATCCTTTCCCGCCATCACCCCTTCTCGTGGTTCTCTCCATTCCCTTGCTCATCCGTCTTCCCTCATCCTGATAACCGTCCTTTCCAGGAGCTGCCAGGTTCATACAAGATATGGTACGCGTACTTGAAGGAGCGTATGAACGCTGTCAGCGATCTCTGCATCACCGACTCGAAGTACGAGGACGTTCGGTCTTGCATGCTCGCGTGTCTTGCAGCGCTCCGTTTTTTTCTTTGCCGCCTGGGTAGATGCCATGGCAAGCCCGATCAGCAGCAGACATACGGCTGACAATTACAGCTGTTGCTCAACACAGGATGCTTCCTGACTAGCCTGCGCCAGCAGAGGGGAAGCAGGAGGACCACCAGAAGTCGAGGTTAAGTCGAGGCAACGCTCGTGGTGCGGCAATGCAGAGCGCAATCGCTGAGTCCTGCGTGGAGACCGTGCAGGATCAACGTACATGTGCTCCAAGCCTGCGAGGTCGACCAACTGCCGGGCCGGGCAACCACGTGCATAGTCCACGCAGCAGGTCCGCGACCGTTGCGGCACCCTCCGCCATTGGTGACCACAACGTGTGTTATCAACGCAATCTCGTGCTCCACATGCCATGACATGAAATCCCGGTCGCTCAGCGCCACGTTCATTGGTGCGATAAAAATTTGGCCTGTAGGTGTCATCCGTGAGTTCCATGTCCCTGTCCACCAACCGCGCCACCGACTGACAGTCCAGCGCTTGCCCGTTTCGCCGAAACGGCATCAACTTGGCAAGACGACTGGCGGCGTGTCAGCAATATCGAACCCCACATCCATGCTCAGAGGCGCTCATTTGCCGCTGGCCAGCTTTCCAGCAGCGGTCGCAAATTCCAACGCTCACACAGGCACCGCGCGGAAGCGCCGAAGTTGACTATCCAATTGGCCAGATTGGTGTGGACATCGCGGAAAGAACGCCAATCATTCCCGCATACCGATACGAAGCAATTTCACCAAGCAGTAGCATGGCCTCGAGATGTTTGCACGAGTCTTTCGCAGTGGCGCCGGGCAGCAGGAACATCCCGGAGAGAGACCAACAAAACCGCAGCGTTTCGACAAGCAGGATAATGAAACCTATGAGGTGCGTGAGGGGCATGAGTGAGGGAGGGAGGAGGGGAGGGGATGTTGAGGATGGTTAAGGGTGAATGTGATCGAGGATGTTGTCGCAGGAGCAGGTGGATGCGTGGGGTGGGTATGTGGCTCAGTGAGATCCGAGAGGAAGCAGTCAGAAGGAGAAGAGCAAGGGATGCGCGTGCAGAGGGATAGGGATTTGACGAGGGCCACGTGTCAATGTATGCTTCTAGATTTCACACTGTGGGAATAAGTTGTCACTCTCTCCTCCTCCTCCTTCTCCTCCTCCTCCTCCTCCTCCTCCTATCCCTCCTCCTCCTGCCATTTTTTCAGACAAGCATCTGGCTTGGGTCCCTTTTGTACCCAACATATGGGAGGCGGCCGCGCCGTGGAGAGTCGAAGGCGGCCTGGTGCGCGGACTGCGCGCTCGTGCTCGCAGCCGCTGTACAGTGCTGTTTTTAATACATGCTCCGCGTGCGGATCATGTATTAAACATGCAGGGATTTAGTACTAAAAACAACGATGAATTCATGCATACATTGATTCATACATTAGTCATGTATTAAAGGTCCTATATTTTTAAAAATCGTATGTATTAAACATTGTTCTTCATGTTCCCAGACGGTTCTCTTGCCCCTGGCTTTGTGGCGAGCGCTCCAGGCCTTCAGCGGGCCTTGGAAACGTCAGGGCCGTCTTTGTCACTAGTCCCGTCCTGCAGTTTTTGTTGTTGCCCGTTCCGACGCCGATTTTTTATTGGATCCGACGTTTTCTGTTCTACTATGCTGTATGAACAAAAATTCCTGGGAGGGTTGGCTGGGGGGGGGGTCCAGGGGGGGGGGGGTCCGGTTCTTCGCGGGGTTGTCCAAGGGGTTGTCGGGGCCGTGCCGGTTTGCCAGCGCACGCACATGCCTTAATCATCCATATCATCAGAAGCATGGCGCAGCCAGTCAAACCCAGCTGGAAAGGGCGCCTCTCTCCTCCTTCCCCTCTTGTTCGTTCCTCTCTCGCGTCCTCCCGCTCCCGCTTGCACATTCTCATTGATCGTTGTTCTCCACGAAGCGTGGTTGGCTGGAGTCCTTTAGTTGTAGAAGCTAGCTCCAGCCGCGGGACCAGCGCACAGAGACATCCTCAAAATGAGGAGGTTGTCTGTCCACTTTCGCTTGAGACATCCTCGTAATGCTGGGCTCACGCATGCCCAGGTCTGAGGTGTTCTAGCTGGTTTTGCCTGCCATATCCTTGCAATTATGGGCTCGGAGATGCCGCCCACAAGGTGGTCCGTTCTCGTAACCTTGGCCTCAGAGATGCCCTGACCTCAGTTGGTCCGAGAGAGCCACCGGCGACCCCCAATACAAGGACAAGACCTTACCCCCGCACGTCGGATTCTCGAGGGGATTGTCCGGGGGGTTGTCAACCGGATTGTCTGGGGGGTTGTCCGGGGTTTGTCCAGGCGCAGTTTTACCCAAGCCCTCTCTTGGGCTTCTTCATTCTTCAGCCTTCAGCCTGCGCTTCATTCCTCAGCGTCGTCCTTTTACCCCTGCGACATCCTCGCAACTCTGAGCTCGGCGATGGCATGTCTTGACGTGAGGTTGTCCAGCCAGTTTCGCCTGAGAATTCCCCGAAACTATGGCTTCTGAGATGCTGGGCGCGAGGTTGTCCAGCCAGTTTTGCCTGAGACAGCCTAGCAACTCTGTGCATCAAGATGCCCTGACCAACGGATGAGCAGACACAGGACTCCCACGGAATCGGGGGGAAGGTGGCGAATGGTGCTGTCGTTGGAGCGCTGGCCATATCCCTGAACGGGGGTGGTGATGTCGCCTGAGCGGTGACTATACTCTCGATTGGGAAGTGAGCTGTCGCCCGAGCACTGGATGTTGCTCTCGCCTGAGCGCCAGCCGCATCCCTGATTGAAAACGGTGCTCTCTCCAGTGCGCTGGCCACATCCCTGGTAGGGAACGGTGCTCTCGCTCAAGCGTTGGCCATACTTACGTGCTAGGGCACTTGTGGTCTCCATCTCGGAGGGGTTGTCCGAGTTGTCCAGGGAGTTGTCCAGATTTTGTGTTACGTTTTTCCCATACAACATAGCATTGATTCCGGGCTCCAGTTCCAGTCCAGAGCCGTTTTTTTTACCGTTTCTTGTCGCCATGTTCTTGTCGTTTCCATGTTCAAGAGACGATGTTTCGGAAACGGTGGAAGAACGGCCCTGTCGTTTCTGGGGCCGACTGAGCTCCAGGCACATGATTCATTTATGGAGGGCGGACATGTGGCGGTTGCTTCACCCTTTGGGTTTGACGCACGGGAGAGGAACTCAAAGCCGTATCACGTTGCAGAGGGTTCCGCTCAACACCGGAAGCATGTCGTAACAGGTGATGGGAGTTGCATCTCGTAGTTTGGTTATTTCACATTGACGCGCATCCCGTTCACACCAGAAGAGCATGTGATGTATTGTGGCCCGTGGGTCTCGCATAGCATCAGTGGTGCCCTGACGCACGCTTCGAGCGCGGAAGGAAGCGAATAGCGCATTCGACCGGGCCCTCGTCTTCTTGCACAAGATGCCTCGGATATGGTGCCCGCCTTACGTTAGAAACACAAGGTTCGCATTCCGCGGTCGACATTGTGTGAGGGGACCGTGGCGATTCTCTATACACGGCCTGTTGATGGTGCGCAGGCGAGAGCCGTAACATTGACATTTCAGCACTCCGTCCGTCTCGAGACAAGGCCGGAACGCTGAAGTTCCGGAAGATGTGTGGGAAGGCCCAGGGGTAACGGGACATGGGAAGCCTGTGCAAGGTGGAGCCGTCGAGTGTTCAAACAGAATTTCCATACCGCCCTATCAACGTGTTTTTTGGCGCGGCAACTTGAAGGTGCGTGCAAGCAAGAGGGACGGACGTTCACGAGCGATGGCGACGTCAGCGAAGACAGGATTCAGGACCATTGAGGCGGAGCATACGCGACACATGGGTACGTAGGGCGAAGAGGAATCAATTAGGAGGTGAGGTTTGAAGTCGTATTGTAAGGTTGGTTTCAGGCAGTGGGTTGAGCGGATCGTGTCCTTCGAACAGTTATCAGGGGAAAGTCCGGGACAGTTGCTTTGCCGTGTTTTTTTGTTTTGTCTATCGCATGCGCACGGATATGTTGTTTTTTTTTTCATATGGCAAAGAGTCCGAAATATTTTATGTCAAGGGTCATTGTTTCTCTTTTCGAAGTGGCAACATTGTGCTATGTTTGTTGCGGTAAAAAACATGCTTGATGTTGCATTTGAATCGGTTCCATTTTTGCGCGTGCCACTTACTTCACGTGGACACGCACTAAACGTTGCATATTTCGCAAGGGTGTATTCGAAGTCTGACCGTCACTGTTTTGTCATCTGCATGTAATCGTACAACTTCAAATGGAAAGAGCATGCGCGAATTCTCTTCCGGTAAGAAAGACACACTTGTGGTGCAAACCAACAGTTCAGCTTGCGCGGAAGCAGAGCTGGGGACGACATACAGCGAAGACGCTGAGGCGAGAACCTCTTTGGGGCTCAGGAGGGGTTAGGCTTCTCGGGCCGTTCCTCAGATCCAGGTCGAGGCAACTGCTCGCAGCCGAGCGCCCGCCATGGCGAGGCACGCCTCCCTCCGCCGTCTCTTGTTCGGCGTTGCTTGCGGCAGCATGGGTTCATGCTCCAGAGACGGGCGTGTAATGAAGCAGTCAGTAAGGGGCCCAGCATGCAAACCGCCACCGCTTGTAGCTCCAGAGACTGGCGTATATTGAAGCAGTCAGTACGGGGCCAACCTACACACCACCGCCGCTTCCCTCCCCATACGCTCCCTCCCCCAGGACCGAGGACCATCGACAATAACTGAACCACTGACCCTAAAATCACAGTGAAGACGTGGCCTCAGCCCCCGTCTTTGCATTAGGGATAGTACGCCTGGGCGCTCTTGCTCGATACACCTGAGGAAACTCAGACTTCTGGCCCTCCTAACGTAGGTCCTCTCCTAGAGGACTGGGGGTCCTTCTTTGGTGAATCCGAGGTGGCGGCGAGGAGGCTGGAGGAGGGACGGGACACGGCGGTGGCGGTGGTGCATGTCTTTGGGACCCGCTCCCCCCCTCTCTGTTAATTCAAGCTTCGCGCGGCCCGCTTAGCTTCGACCAGAAGAGGTGCGCTCTCGACCCGCGAATCAACAACATGCTTTTGGGACCCGCGGTGAGGTGGCCGGAGAGGCCAGGGGGAGGGGAGCGGCGCCGAGGAGAGCACGGGGAGCACGGGGAGCGGAGGCTCAGCACGCGCGAGGCGAGGCACGCGGTGATCCTGTGCTCGTTGTCTGGCGGCGAGCGGGAGGGGGGGGAGTGCGAAGGTCGGGCCCGACGAAAGGTGGGGATTGGGAAAGGGAGGGTTACGACATCTGCTGCATGCAGCTGGTTTCGGCCCCGCCGCCGGGCCCAGTCCTCGATACATGGGCGCCTCTGGCTCCGGGAGGCGCCGGGAAAATCAGCTACGTGAGCTGATCCTCAAACCCCCCCTTTGCTATCCCCCCCGTTCGCCCGGCCCGAGAAGGAGAAGGCTTTCTCTCGACGAAGAGCAAGAACACATAAACATAACCTTTCGACGGTCCGCGCGGATTTCTTGGTTTTGCGCTGGGCACCCCCTGGTGGCGCAAAATTCCGCTCGGACCGTCGAGAGTTTATGTTTATGTGTTTTTCTTCGTCTATTCTCAGATCGGGGGCGGCAGAGGGGGGGGAAGATGGCTAGGAGGAGGTGGATATCATGGCGTGGGCCATGATATTTCCCCAGATCTCATGGCGCCTCTTCTTATTTCATTACGTCCCTGGCCCCCCCTTGGGCGGCGCACGTGCCGCCGGCCATGATTTGCACCCTCCCCCCCCTCGTGGACGCACCCCTCTTGGCCGCCCCCGATCAGAAGGCGGCGGGGCTTCTCGGAAGCCCGCCAGCCTTCTGAGAAGGTTTCCATGTCTTCGGGGAAGGCTCAGACAACTTCTCGGAAGGTCGGGGGCATCTTCCGAACCCTCTGGGAAGGCCTTCTCCTACTCACTGCCCCGCCTCTCTCGCCGCCGAGTGTTGGGGGAACTTCCTGGGGCCCACCACGAATCTGCTCGGCTTCCGCAGTTCCCCTCCAACTCGGCTCACGTTCGACTCAAGTTTGCGGGCGTTCGTCGCAGCATCTGCGGATGATCGCAAGAGCTAGGAGGAGATGGACGGTGGCGAAGACCGAGTGGATCATGGAGGAACCACGGGAACAGGGCGTCAGATTCGCCCTCTCGTCATTGTGCCTTCCACCGAGGCTGGATTACCTGGAGTTCTTGATGAAGCAGAAGAAGGTCGAGCGGAGACCGGGGAGGGGTGGCGGAATGGCCATGGACCATGCACAGCGAGAAGGGCGGGAGGAGGGGGTGGACGTCGCCTCCCCGCCTCTGCACTTCCTCGTCTCCCTCCCCCCTTGCCTGGGGCAGTAATCGAGTTTAGGCGGTGGTCACGAAACAACCCAGTCAGGAAATCCAGTCAACGGGCAGGGGTCCGGACGTTCTGGTGACCCACATCGTCGATGCTTGATATTTGAAGAGGTCTCTTCGTCTGGGGGTTCAAGAGCGGGCAGCCATGGGCCACGGCCAAGGGTTGGGGGTCTCCAGGGAGGCGCCCGAAAAGTCCTCTGGAAGATGCCCGTGTCTCAAGACCGCTGCCCTTGCCAGGAAGATAGACGCGGCTGGCTAGAGCGAGGAGGGTATGCCCGTGTCTTCCGTGCGCCCCGCCGTTCGGCCCCTCGCATGTGTGCGCATTCAGTCCTTGGCCTCCGCATGCTCAGCACGTGGATCCAGCCGTGTGTATGTGTAGGTGTGTGTGTGTGTGTTGTGTGTGTAGGTGTGTGTGTGTGTGTGTCCAGCCTCCTGTTACCGAAGACGCCTTCCAGGGCCCATGTCGATCGGATCGATGCGATTCAGTATCGATTTGGGCTGGTTCCGTCCGGCTCGATTCAAGCATTCCGACGATCTGATGCGGACCGATGTTTGCACGGTGTTGTTGTGCACGTTGGCCCAGCCGATGAGATTCGATTTCATCTCCGTGCCGATGCAGTCCGGTCCGTCGCACACCCCGCTCCGACCTGACTTCGACTTGATGATGGTCGATCCCACCTTCTGGGCACGCTCGAGTACGGTAGGTTCGTGCCGTGTCGACGCGGCGGCGAGCACGTCGCGGCCGTTCAAGGCGGAACGCCGCCAGTTGCCCAGAGTCGGCCAACACGGAACCACCCCGCGATCGCAAGGCCGCCGCCCTTTCAAGGTTGAACGATCCGCGCGGTGTCAAAAATCCACGCCGGGGTCTTCACGACACGAACTTGCAATACATGTTTCCCGATGCACCTCGCGGTACATGCGATTCACGTTGGTACATCCGTGGTCGAAGACAGGCCCAATCCAGCGTATGCCCGCTCGATCCCGCTTGATCTTGCGTTCATCCTGGTCAAATCGGGGCGAATCCTGGTTTTCATCGGAGCGAATCTGGCGCCATGGCCGATTTGTCGGGCCTGATTCGGGCGAACCAGGATCGTGATAAATCGTTCCACAGCGTTCCAGAGTTCTCTCAGAGCGTTCCCGAACGCTCTGAGAAGGCCGCGGCGCCCGATACATTCTCCAGAACATCCAGATCGCAGAGATTCCCGAGTTCTCCCCGTCCGACTCTCCTCCCTTCCCTGGCCTCGTCTCACCGATAGCACCTGCCCGTTGCTGCGAAGACCTCGCGGAAGGTGCGTCCCAAAAGCCGAGGCCGATGGGGCACGCAGGGCCGACCCTGGGCTCCTCCCGGGTCCGAGCTCCGACGCGGCTCTCGGCCGCCACTGGAGGCCCCGAGGGCTCGGAGCGCGACCGTGGAAGAGGGGGACGTCTCGGGCAGCGGGGCTCCCGGAGATCCTGCGGCTCCGAGGGCCCGCAGGCCGCACGCGGCGCTCCCGGGCGTGCGCGCGGCCCGGGGCCGCGCCGAGCTCTCCGGGGCGGTGCGGCCGCGCCGAGCTGCAGCAGCCGCCCCTCTCCCGCCCGCCGGCCTCCGAGCGCGAGCTCCTGCGCGGGCCCCGCGCGGGCCCTGCGCGGACGCGGCCGGCCTCCTCGGGAGGGGGGCAAACCACACACACAGACACAGACACAGACACACCAACACACACACAGACAGACAGACAGACAGACAGACAGACACAGACAGACAGACAGACAGACAGACAGACAGACAGACAGACAGACAGACAGACAGACAGACAGACACAAGGAATCGCCGACTCCCTGGAAAAGATGTGAAGATATGCGAAGTGGGGGGGAAGACGAAACTCCAGAAGATATTGCAAGATATGGGGAATTCTGGGATTTGTGTGTACTTGTGTGTCTGTGTGTGTGTGTGTGTCCCTGGGCCCCTTCATCCCTTTCCGCGGCTTTCTCGGCCTCCCCGTCATTGCTCGGCCTTTTACGTTGGCCATACATTAGCATCGAGGCTGCTGCGTTCGGTTGCTCGGCCTCCTAGGCCTCGTCATCCTCGTCATTTCCAGGCCTCCAAAAAATGAGTTTCGATGCCTCTGAGGATCGCGGCTTCTCGCCGATGCATCGACGACGCGGCTTCATGTGGAGCCAGAGTTTCTCCTCGCCGACTGCGCCGATGCCTCCTCCTCCACCTTGTCCTTCTCCTCTCCTCCTCCAAGGACAGAAGCAAACATTCTCTGAGGTCCGCGTGGATCTCTCGTATCAGCGCTGGACCCCCTTGTGCAGCGCGCCAGGGGCGGCCCCAGAGGCGCCGTCAGGGGACTCCAGTGCCGCATCCGAGGAATTCGCGAGGACCTCCGAGCTGTCTGTTCCCCTCCTCCTGCTCCTCCTGGTCCTCCTTCTCCTCTTCCCCTCCCCTCCCCGCGCGAGCCCCCGCCCGCGCGCGGGACGACGACGACGACGACGACGACGATGACGACGACGACGACGCCGACGCCGACGCTGCCGCTGCCGCCGGCGGCGGCGGCGACGACGATGATCACGACGACGACGACGACGACGACGACGACGCCAACGACGCGCACCTCGCGGCTCGAGCTGCGGCTCCTCGGGGCGCGCCGGCCTGCAGCGCACGGAGATTCGAGTAGGGGATCGACTACATAATCGATTCACCCCAATGTTGGTTTCCTCGCCGAGTCATACCTCGCATGTCCGTAGATCTGCGAGCATTCTATACGTTGCTCGTGGATTCGACGAACAAGTTGATTTACCAAAAGCTTGGCTTGTCCCAAACTTGATTTTGTCGCGGAATCATACCTAGAATGTTCGTAGATCATCGAGCATTCCATGCATTTCTCATGTATTCTAGGAACAAATAGATTTACCCCAAACTCGACTTACCTCAAACTTGATTTTCCCGCGGAGTCACACGTCGAATGTCCGTAGATTTACGAGCATTCCAAACGTTTCTCATGGATCCGACGAACAAACTGATTTACCCCAAGCTTGACTCACCCTGAACTTGATTGCGAAGGCTTTACGTCCGGTGCAGCCGACCCTGAATGGCGACGGCGACGAAGACGACGACGACGACGACGAGCGCTCTTGGGCGACTCTTGGGGGTAGTTTTGGGGGCCTCTTGAGGTTCTGGGGGGCCGCGCGGGAGCCTCGTGGCCCGCCCCCTCCAAGCCATGGTGGCGGTGGGAAACAGGCCCACCCCGGGGTACTCCGCAGTCCATCCCCTGCTCGAGCGATGGCGGCCCGCGGGCCCGGGGCCGCGGCGGCGCCGCGGGGCGCCGCGGCGGCGCGGCATGCCGCCGCGGCGGCGGGCGCCACCCTGCTGGGCGCGCTGCTGGCCGCCCGCGCCGGTCGGCCGGAGCCGCCAGTCGCCCGACGCCGAGAGAGTTTTTTGTTCACATATATGTATATATATATACACATATATATATATATTCCCCAATCAGAGCTTGCTTCTGTAGGGGTCCTATAGCGGATATAAAGCTGAGGTGAGGTCGGCGGCCGATTTCGGTGGCCGGGGCCGGGTGCCCGGGTGCCCGGGGGTGCCCGGGTGGCCGATTTCGGTGTCCGGGCCCGGGTGCTCGGGTGCCCGGGGGTGCCCGGGTGCCCGGGGGTGCACGGGTGCCCGGGGGTGCCCAATAGCCCAGTAGCCCTATAGCCCTATATTCCTATAGCCGTATAGCCCTATAGCCCTGTAGCCCTATAGCCTTATATCCCTATAGCCCTAATAGCCTTATATCCCTATAGCCCCATAGCCCCATAGCCCATATAGTTCTATAGCCCCATAGCCCTATAGCCCTATGGCCCTATAGGT